TTTCATGCATATTTGCTGGTCTATTTAAATCTTTTATTTACGTGTATGTCAAACGTGAACATCGTATGAAACTTCCAAGTTTAGTCCTTGATTTATACATATGAAATGATAAAAATTAGTAACAACCAACTTGATAAACATTGGTTTTTATTAAAAATGCAACGTTTGTGAAATGTTCATCTACAGAAATACAGAAATACATAAAAACAATCAAACAACTGAATAAAGTTTACTCTGACCACGCAATTGAACGACTTGTTTTTTAAATACAAAGTTTAATAGTAAATCCGATACCGGATATTTTCTTATTAAAATGATAAGATCTTTACAAAGAAATTGTTTTATTTTTCGAAAAAACAAAATGAATCGAGAATGATTATTTATCATCACTGAAGATAGCTCAGAATCAAAATATTGATTGTGTTTATATTGAAATATGAACATAGTATTTTTTCGATACTTTAATTTGTTTGGCTTTCTTCTCTTTAAAGTCTTTAAAATTTGAGAAACTTTAAGCGAAATATTAAGTATCTTAATAACTAAGATCAAGTCTTATTTGATAAGTGCAGATATTATAAAGTTTACATAAATATAATATCTTCTTCTGTGAAAAAACACATATTGGCAAAATAAAGATAATATTAACTGACAAGAATCGATTAAGAATTTTGCACTAAAAGTTGTTCTAAAAGAGTTTCACGAACGAAATATGACGAAATGACGAGTTAAGATTAAAATTTATTTATTTGCATTGGACCAAAAAATAATCTGGCTATATGTCGTTTAGTATATTTTTTGGCAAGAACAATATTTTATTTTCTTAGCTATACAAAAATATATCTCATATAATATTCATCGACGTCATATCCATGCTTTGAAACTATCCATAGACAAATTGATTCTATGATAAGATGGCACGGATCAGTAATACCTATTTCTTTTAAACAAATCTCGATTTCTCAGTCATCAATATAAATAAAATCAGATAAATGAGCATTTATCTAGTCAAGAAAAAAATCACACCCACACCATTTTAATCTAAGTGAATGATTCTATTGTAGGATTTGTTTTTATACTAACAATTAGTGTTAGAAAAGAATAGAATTACTCTCGCGAGTACCACTAGCTAATTCAAGGGGTAATATCTAAATTAGTAATAAAAATCTCAGTCCTGTAATTTCGAATGTGTAGGACAATATTCCTTCAATAGATCTCTTTTTTTTAAGAATTCATGTAAATATAAAGGGAATTATCAAGTCGCAACTTAGAGAAATCATGAGAATGAATCTGAAACAGGTTCTTTAGAAGGAATCATTTGACAGTTTGAAAAGAATTCTCAATAGTAAGTTTAAGGAGAAAGATTTTTGTGAGATTTGAAGAATTATTTAAGATTGAAACACTTTATGTGTTTAGTACAGGGCTTAATGTAATATTATTTTTATTCGATCACTTATCAAAAAAAAGAAGAAGATGCTAACATATTTCTTTCATACATTATTCCGAGTTTATTAATACTAATTATATTCATTAAGTATTAAGTAGACGACTTATTGTTATAGAACGTAAAAACTTATTTTTGGTATGTTCTCGATAAATTTTCTTTTACATCGTTATAATATATCTTGAGGGTGTGTGGGGTGTGGGGGTGGGTGTGTGGTCGTGTTAAGAATATAGTCACACCCACACCCAACCCTACTGGACATATATAATAAGATCCTAGCTTTGTTCCTTGGTAGTTTTTGGTAGTAAGATGAGCGAGTTTAAGAAACAAATATTCGGAAACTATGATTTTCCAAATTTTAATGAGCCATTCTATCGCTTATTGCGAATTCATCGAGTAACAAGTATTTACATACATCGATTGAATATATTAGATAAGAAACTGCATGAAATACTATAATGTATTTTTATATGAATATAGCTAAAGTGGGTGCATTATTACTGATTTCTTACATATTCTATTTAGAGAAAAAAAACTCTCGCGCTTATCAGCGTTCGTGACCGTGAGCTGCACACTCCTAATCCAGCAGGATCCATGGTTTTTACATTGTTTGAAGATTGGTGTAAAGAGAATCAGTTTTTGGTGCATTGTGATAGACTCCGGCGTATTTAGTAGATTGAAGTATAGATTTCCGTACACTTCAGTCAATCTATTGTGCAATTTAATACCCTTTATTAGGAGCAACAGGATCCGCTTTTCCCACCCTTGAGCTAGTTGATTATAACTAGGGTGTGGCTGTGGATTAAGAAAAAAATGACACCCACACCCACATCCTAATTATTTCTAGAAGAGCTACGTCAAGTTTCTGAAAAACAGTTAGTCTTTGTTTTTGTACGATCTCACTGTCATTCTACATCTTTTCGAACACACTAAACAAGAAAATCTAGTTTTAAACGATGCTTTCTTCATAAATATGACTTGTAAATGATTGCAAAAGTACTCACTGTCGCTGAATGCCAGGAATGTAACTTTTCCACCATACAGTTCTTTCAGGTTGTTCCTCTTCTTTTCTGATAGGATATTGCCATATCGAAGATTGTTCAGTTTTTTATTAACCATGAACATTTCGAGGATGCTATCAACGCTTTCGTCGGTAGCATTTTTATTATCAGATAAGTCCAAGATCTCCATGGCCGAATGAGGATGTTCGAGTGCTTCCATCAGCAGCTGTACTCCTCGGTTAGTAAGAGCAACGTTGCTCATCCACAAACCAATGAGCGCATCTGGTTTCTCGTGAAGAAGCTCGGCAATTAGATCAGCACCGTCGTCTCCTATCGGATTGCCGGAGAGTCGAAGCAACTTCAAGGATCCACCCCTCCTGAGTATATCAACGATGAATGCGATACCATCTGCAGTAATCATGTTGTCTTCTAAGATGAGTGAACTACACTGCTTCCTTTTTATTGCCTGCTCAACGACTGTTTCCATGTCCGTGTTTTCTAATTGCATTTTCCCCAAGTTCATATTGTGCGGTTCGTTTCTGTCAATGGCATCTTGAAGATTCTTTTTCTTAGTGTCGATAGCCTCTTGAATTCGTAATTGTTCATAGTATTCCTTGCGAGACATCTTCTTGTCCACCGCTTTTGGCGGCTGTTCCTTCATTTTTGCATTGCTACTAGAAGAAGCCATTCGATTAGTGAGAGTCCGTTCGGAACTGTGTGTGTGTCTAAACAATAATATATTTATTGGTTGTTCGTATTTACCTGACAAAGAATGAAGTACGCGCCTTTTCGCATAGGCTATATCCCTCCACCCACCCTGTGGTTGTGACTGTTGTGTGCTAACCTTCTCAGCACCCACACCCACACACCCTTTCGCACACTCACCTTAACGTTTGTTGTACTTGCTTTAAGAAAACAATCCGTTACTCTGTGAACAACTTTATATATGTGCTACCATACAGAACACACGAGTCGCTCTTTCGCGGAAAAAAATGCCACGACAGAATTGCCAACTTTACGTTTGTTGCTACATTATATGCATTTTTTTTCTCGCTCTCTTTCCACCCTTAAAATACCTTTGAGTGATGCTTCAACCGAGTTTTGTTTACACAGCATGCCAAAAAAATGCTGTTGTCGCTGATTCAGGCAATATAAAATCAATCAGAAGGTTGTCGTAATGACTGCTGTCGCCGAAAGATGTACGTCTTTCTTACTTTCAAACAAGTAGGGGTGGGTGTGGGTGTGGGTATGGGTTTTAGTGGGGATGCACTGAATTCCGTTCAATTTCTGTTCGAGCTAATTCCAGGAATTTCGTACTGGAATTGCATTTGTCACCGAACAGTAACTGATAATAATCGTCCATTAATTACTGAATTCCGAGGAGTAGGTGGGAATTCGTTTCGGCTATTCCGGAATGAGAGGTATCACATATCTGAAATATCGGGCATGCTGGAGATGCCAAGGGAGACGCCGACATACAAAACTATAACTAACACATAATACAAGTATTATGCGTATGTAAAACTATTTAGGCGCATTCTGCGTCTCATGCAGAGACTCCTCATCTCTGGCAACCCCTCCGGAAGATGCCGCCTCTGACACAGAGACGCCGTATCTTCGGGGAACCACTGAAGAAAACATTTTCCTGATTTGAAGCCTATGACCAATACCCATCCATGGGTCAGAGTCGAGTGTGGAAATCGTCCATCCAGCAATGCTGTCTAACTCACAGGGGAGGCGAACGGTGCTCTTAAGCGCCGAAAAAATTATCGGCTTGCTAAATCGTAGTCATTCATGGATAGAGCGACATAAACGAAATACTAAATTTACAGCGAATGACAGGTAAAAAGGTAAAAACAGACGCATTGCCAACCACGTGGAAAAGGCAAATCATTTGATATTGGCGCGTCGCTGCGGTAGACAAGCATAAAAACACGCGCACCTACTTGAACGCAAGTTGATTGCAAGCATACCAACCCTCACACCCACACCCATACCCTCCATTCGTCATTCTGATATTCAAATGACATTTGAAAATATTGGCTCAAATATGTGGGTGTGGGCACTCAGTTCAGATCAGCAGTAAAGTCCCACCCACACCCTTTCACTGTCGGAAATACACGATATTTTTAAAAGTTCTATATCATTTAGTATCCTCAATTAAAATGGCCGTCGCTACTATATCGGATGAAGATTTTGACACAAACAATGATGACAGATATCTTGAGCTCTTCTGTCTTATTTGGCTCGATGATAATATAAATGCTAAAGAAACTCGAGATACTGAACAAAATTTACGTTCAATAATTAATAATTTGAAGAAGTTTCAAGATGTAAAACAATGTCAAGAGTTTATTGAACGAAGATCACAAAACGATCGATTAATACTCATTGTTAGTGGTCAATTAGGAAAAAAGATAATACCTTGTATTCATCAAATTCGACAAGTTATATCAGTTTATGTTTACTGTATGAACAAAAAGAGCAATGAAGCATGGGCTTGTAAATTTGCAAAGGTAAAATTATGATAGAATATTTTACTTGGGTTTCATATCATTTTTTTTCACTAGGTGAAAGGTGTCGAGATTGACCTTGATAAACTTGTTTCTCGAATCAAAACCGATCATAAAATTCAAAAGAAAGTAGAAGAACCATTATCCATCAATATCTTTACTGCAAGCGCCGACTCGGGTACATCAACAATGGAAGTCAATGGTGAATTTGTTTTTTCTCAGGTTCTTATTGATTGTCTTCTACGACTAAAATCCACTCAAGTAGACACAAAGGAGCTCATTAATCATTGTAAAAATGTATATGAAGATAATCAAATCGAGTTGAGTAATATTAGTGAATTTCAACAAGATTATTCACCTAAGAAAGTCTTACGGTGGTATACTCGAGAATCGTTCTTTTACAAAACTCTCAACGCTGCCCTACGTACACAAAACATTCACTTAATTTTTTTATTTCGTTCATTTATTGCTGATCTACATCAACAATTACAAGATTATCAAGCTAAACATCGTCTACGAGTTTATCGAAGTCAAGTGATATCAAATGATGAACTGAAAATTTTGAAGCAATCTCTTGGTCAACTTATTTCTATAAATTCATTTTTTTCCACTAGTACTGACTATTGGAAAGCGCTTTCATTTCTAGATCTTTCTGATGCTTCAGGTGATTTAGAACGAATATTATTTGAAATAAAGGCTGACCCTAAGATAGTCACTACACAACCATTTGCTGATATTAGTAAACATAGTGAATTCAGTGATGAAGCAGAAGTACTCTTTATGATTGGGTCTATTTTTCGTCTTAAAAGTATTAAGCGTGATGAAAATCAAGTATGGATTATTCAAATGACTTTGTGTAATGACGATGAACATGATCTAAAACAAGTTCTTACGTATATGAAACAACAAATTGGAAGTGGAGAAACAAATCTTCGAACATTAGGAAAAGTACTGTGCCGAATGGGAAAATTTGATTTAGCCGAAAAATATCTTAAACGTCTATTGAAAGAATTACCATCAAATCATCCATTAATTAGCAGTGTATATGAAGATCTAGGCCAGCTAGCATCACAGACAGGACACTTTAACATGAGTGTTCAGTGGCATCAAAAATCACTTGCATTTAAAAACGAAATTGAATTATCTACCAATTCCAATATTAATGAAATTAAAACCTTCAGTAGTAAGTTTATCGAGAAAAATCTATCATCTCTAAATGAGTGTCGTACATAAAAAATACTTATTGTATGTACAAAAATATACTGTACCAATCTTATCACGGTTAAAAAATGAAGCCAACCAAAAATTTATCACCTATCACTACTTCTATTTCAACTTCATCAGTAATGTAGAACTCACTAGTAACGTTCAGTGAAGACCTTGAGGATGTGGGTGTAGAATAGTAGAGCACGAGTCTAACCATGTTCATACCCAAACCCACACCCTATCCCTGAAAATTTCAAAAATTGAAGTAGTCACCTTTTTTCTCTTTGTTGTGAATGCTTCGTTTTGCTTTTCTAGCAAAATCTATTCCGTCAACTCACTCCAAAGAAAAGACAAAACGGATACAAGATAGTGTGAGTATTACTGGAGGCCACACATCAGACAATCAATTAAATTGCCCTTATGGTATCTATGTTGATGACGATAATCAGAGTATTTTTATTGCCGACTGGGGAAATCATCGTATTGTTGAATGGAAATGTGATACAAAGAATAGTCAAGTTGTAGCGGGCGGGAATGGAAACGGAAATCGTATGGATCAATTAAGTTTTCCAACAGGTGTGATTGTTGACAAGAAGGATGATTCTCTTATAATTTGTGATTGGGGAAATAGACGGGTGGTACGATGGCCTCGTCGAAATAGTACCAATGTACTAACTCTCATCTCGAACATTCGATGCTCTCATCTAGCAATGGATAATGATGGAGATCTGTATGTCTCTGATACTGAGAAGCATGAAGTGAAACGATGGAAAAAAGGACAGCGAGATGGAACAACCGTAGCAGGTGGCAATGGAAAAGGATATAATCTCAATCAATTGGATACTCCTAGTTATATCTTCGTCGATCAAGATTACGCAATCTATATATCGGATGAGAACAATCATCGTGTAATGAAATGGATAAACGGTACTAAAGAAGGAAGATTAGTTGCTGGCGGACAAGGTGACGGGAACAGTCTTACACAATTGTCTCGTCCTGCAGGAGTGATCGTCGATCAATTGGGTCGTGTCTATGTGAGTGACAGTCGGAATCATCGGATAATGCGTTGGTCGAAAGGATCTAAAGATGGTTCTATTGTTGCTGGTGGAAATGGAAAAACAGGACAACCAAATGAACTCAATGGTCCCAACGGTTTATCGTTCGATCGACAAGGTAATCTCTATGTAGCCAGCCAAGGGAATCATCTCATACAAAAGTTTAGCGTCGACTAAAATCTAAATTGATTGCTGTGGTAAAATGAAGTTTGATGAACATTGAGATTGTTTTTATTTTATTTTAAATAAAATAAAATTGAAGCATGTTGAATTACATGGTCAAACAAATAATTAAGAGATCAAGTACAAAAATGAATATAAATCTATGTAAGATGCTATGAGACGCTTCATGGAACGGACTGAAAAGAATCTAATAAGACAACACGAGTAAAAACGTTTTTTTAGTAGATTCTCTGAGAGTGTGAGTGTAAAGTTTAACTTGTATTGTCTTGTAGAATGTGTTTTTTTTTCTACAAAATCTCTTCCCGTGTACCCAAATGGTTCTCCACACATGAAGACTAGATTGTCATCAATTAAAAGTAACTGTTAGCGAGTCGCTAGAAGTCAGAGCCCATTATAAATTAATGAGTAGCTGTCTAATTCGAGTTCGAATATAAAAGGAGAAAAGAAAAAATTAAACTAAAACCAAATCTATTCCTAGATTTAGTTTTAGTTTAACTTTCCGATATATGCGACATATGAATACGTATATACCTTCAGTCACACCCATATTTGAGCAGTTCTCGATGATATCCATTACCCACACCCACACCCTGCCAGGCTACACGAAACCTTAGATTTAACACTATCCAGGTCGATGGTTACGAATATCTGTATTTTTTCGCCGTAAAGACAAAGAAAATCTTTTAATGCATCAACTCATTAACTGTCAATCGTATCGAAATCACTATTTTCCTGTATCCAATCAATATAGTTTGATACTCGTGTATAAATGCCCGGTTTCATTGGACTAGCACATCGTTCACCATACGATACAATACCATCAACACTGTAATGTAATATATTGGATAAATTTCGTTGCGTGTATAAACCACCACCACTATCACCTTGGCATGTATCACGTTCTCCATTTAGATCACCACAACATAGTTGTGTATTCCAATTTTTTTTCGTTGATGGTGAAACATGATTACAAAATTCGTTCGGATAGATAGTCAAATGAGTTTGTTTAAGAACAGATGAACCTGAAGCAAACGAAAAATACGACTGTCGAATTCTGTTTTCATTGTTCAATTGATTTTACCTTGATTTGCACCCGGTACTGTATCACCAAAACCAACCGCAATACCTGTTGTATTTATTTCAGATAATAAATAGGGTAAACAAGCAAATTGAATCGTTGGTGACGGTCGTAAATAATCTTCAAGTTTCAGAATTGCTATGTCATTTAGTAAATGCCGTTCATTATAATATGGATGCTTTAGAAAAATCATAATTGATAAATGATGTCTTTTTCTAAGATTTTAATCTATCCTACCAAAATAACTTGAAGAACTTTTGCAATACGTCGTTGAGTTGTTTTGCGTCGATCATATAAGCCTATACTAACTTCTAATGTCTAGATAATTACAAAAAAGAACTATGCTTATATAAAAATATCATCTGATTAATCGACGTATACACTCTCAATAGTTGGATAATATTCATTTGAGAGAATAGGAACTACGAATGTTGTATAATCGAATCTAAAAGATAAAGAATTAAAATGCTAAGTAGTTTTAATTTAAAATTATCTGTATAGTAAACTTGCTTATCACCGGTTTTTTTCAAACAATGTGCCTAAACAAAATAGTTATTTTACAGTTTTCTCAATGTTTACATATGGTAACAAACCGCAGTTAATATTGTCTTATGATTGATTAATGTTCCACCGCACATCCATGATGCTGAAACCTAAATAGCTTTTAATTTTAAGAATTCAGTTTGTATAAAATTGTTACTAAATGAGATCGATCATTCAATGTAAGTATAGTTTTGTAGTGCTGTCGAATAAGAACAGCAAACGGCCAACTATATTGAATAGCATCGATTCCACCAATAATACGAGCATCTCGTCGAAGATAGGTTATGCCACATCCTATAGAGAAAAAATGTTCAATAAATTTTGTACTTGTATTTTGAATTACCATCACAAACTGTTCGGCCATTACCGGCTGTACGCGAATCACAAATACACTGTCCTTTAAATAATGATCGATTGATACATCCTGATGCTTTTGAATGACATTTCATAAAGAAACATGGCTCTAAGGTAGAAATGAAAACTAATTTATAAAAAGTCATCATGAACGTCATCAATATCTCGGTTAGCGAACATACTTATACTAGCAAGCGCAACCAATAGTACAGTTGTGACAAGTAAATTGGTAAAAATAATTAGAATAAAAGCTATACACCGTCTCTTTCTTAATAGAAAAAATAATAATTAGAATAATCAAATATTTTTTTTTCTATTACTTTGAACAATATTCGGAGAGAACTGATGAATGAGAGATGTTGGGTATTTGATTCTAAAAATTAGGCTTAAAAAGGTTTGTTATCTTTTTCAATGCACTTACATTCATTACATTACACTCCCGTCATTTGATTTATTGATATAATGTTGAACGAAATTAAGCTTACGGTTGTTGTAAAAGAAACGAAGATAAGTGCTGCGCAACGACATTCAATTCAAGGATTTAAAAACGACGGCGACACGAAGAAAAACGAATCGAGTAAAAAAAAAGAAATGAAGAACAACTTATAATGTCTTTAACAAATTGTCTCGTCGTATGGCAGTTAAAAAATTGACTCAAGTAGAATATGAATATTTCAGTCAGTGGCGGAGCCAGGATTTTGGGCTAGGGGGGGCTGAGCCCCCGAAAAAAATTTTCGTGAATTGTTTGAGAATTTGAAAGTCATTTTTTTTGGGAATTTTGACAATTTTTCTGGGTTTTTTTCGGATTTTGAAAGCTTTTTTTTAGATTTTTGGGAGATTTTGAAATTTTTTCTTGATTCTTGCGGGAGTTTTTGAGTTTCATAGTGGGCAACACTGGCTAAAACATGAAATTGCAAACATTACTACATATTTATATAAAAAAATGCATTTTCTAAAATCTCACTAGGGGGGCTGCGGGCCCCCCCCCCCACCCCCCCCGGTGCCACCACTGATTTCAGTATTCTACTTTCTAAAACAATTCAATTATTAGGAAAAACAAAGTTGTTCAATAGAAGCATCCAACAATTTTGCAATAAAATATTTGTATTGTTTACAATAGTCATCGAAACAATATTGATATTCTCTCGATCATATTTCTTTCCCTAATATAACAGATTTAAAATAAAATCAACATTTGTATCAAAATATGATTGTATTCATCGAATACAATATTCGTTTTTTTCTCATATCTATGCACAAAAAAAATTTAATAAACAGAATAGCAGGTTTTTATTTTTTTTTCAATAAACTACAATGTCACATAAACAAAAAGTTTCAATCATTGTTTCGAATACGAAAATATTTATGTTTATATTTTATCTTTGATTTCATCAAACACTAATGTTGCTATACGATCATATCCAGCAGGTGTCAAATGAAGAGTATCATCCCAAATTCGACGTCGTTCTGCAGTATCGTTGACAGAATGATAGGGTATGCCTCGGTCAAGATCTATCAGAAAAACTCTATCTGGATCGTTACTCTGAGCGACATAGTCTCGAATCATTTGATTCAGTTTTTGTCTATTTTCATCTGCATCGTGTGTCGGTGAAAAAATTGTATTTTCAATAACAGTCATAGCTGCCAATTTAGCTTTTCCTTGATAATGATTAAGACACATTTTATACATTGGTTCCAAACCTTCTTTAAATATGCGCTCAGCCGGTCGTTGGTCAGCAAAATCATTCGTACCGCCGAGTACAATAATCCAGTCATAGTATGTACCTTGTTCCAATAGGTGACGAAGTCTTTTCACCATCGAAGGAACAACTCGTTCACCACTGACTCCTTTTTCAGTTATATGTACAGGCTTACTGATTGAATCGAATAAATTTGTTAAATGTATTGAATAAGGATGATACGATCGGCCATAATTATGATAACCAGCTGTTAGAGAGTCACCAACAGCTAGTATATTCAGTGGGTTTTTCCGTTCGACAGACATTAAAAATGGAACAAAACACAAGAAGCAAAAACCAACAAAGAAGTATATGTGATTATGTTGCATACCTGCAATCGCGAACATAAATAAATAGATGCACGATGTAATTACGTCATGGTTTGATGAGTCATGTTGGAATTACTTTTTTTCCTTCTTTCTTTTTTCATAGGTTAATCAGAAAAAAAAGTTACGCATCTAATATTAGTTTATATAGTTTCAATAAATCTATCTAGAATTCAAGTTAAACAAGTATTGTCTACACTTGTCGTGTATATAGAGATACAGTACATAAATAATAATGTCAAAACAACAAAATCTAACGAAGACTTTTCATCTTTAAGTATTAAGTTGAGCTTATCTTTGCACAATAGTTTAATTATTGTTGTTTCATACATCTCATAGTCCAAAATCAGAAAGATATGGTTTCAATACAGATGTCACTAGTGTACCACAAAATAGGGTCTACTCGATTATAAATCGATCGTGATTTCTCCAATGTACTCTTAGTTGATTATAGTGAAGTGAAGTTTACTACTCAATTTATTGCCGTTTTTTTCTTGTCACAATCTGTCGAATATGGATCGTAAACTTATGTAAAAACTGGTATTATTTTTTCTAGCAAGGGCAACAACTATATAGTAACATAGTACCGAGTTAATTTTAATCTAGATTTTTAAAACGAACGTAGCGCTCAATAATCGGAAACTGTCAATCCATTAGTTAAATAAGATGGTAAAAGTCTAAGCTATATTTACTATCGCTATGGATCACTTTTATGTCTAGAGGATTAAGGAAATGACGTCTGTTGTATTTCTATTTTAGTTTAGTTTATTTTAGAAGTTTTCTTTTCTCATTTTGACTTGTCAAAAAAAAATAGATATTGAGAAAAAGGAAATAACAAAGCCTGTCTATCCGATATGATTAATGACGATGACGATCATTATTAGGAATGGATGAATTATTAAAAGAACTATTTGAAGCTTGTCGGAATGGAGATTTAATTAAAGTGAAAAAATTAATTACACCGGAGAATATCAACGCTCAAGATATTCTTGGAAGAAAATCAACACCTCTACATTTTAGTTCGGGTAAGAATTCTAGTTTATGTTGATATTCTATCGATGAAATTCAATTCAATCTGTGGCAATTAAAACATTTTCTACCCACTTCGGAAGAAGAAAATAGAATCAAATAACAGAGAAAGTTTATTCTAGGATTTGGTCGTAAAGATGTAGTTGAATATCTGCTAAGTCAAAATGCTAATGTTCATATGAAAGATGATGGAGGTTTGATACCATTACATAATGCAGCAAGTTTTGGTCATGCTGAAGTTGTTCAATTACTCTTGAATCATCATTCCAATGTCAATGCATTGGATAGCTGGAATTATAGTCCACTTGCAGAAGCAGCTAGTAAAGGAAAAGTTGATGTTTGTCTTAGTAAGTGTTATTTATTTTTTTTCTCAAGCAAATCATTTATTAGATTTCTATTCTTCAGTTCTTTTACAACATGGAGCAGATCCAAATTTAAAAAATAGTGATGGAAAAAGTGCTCTTGATCTGGCTGATTCATCAACTCTGCCAGTACTGACTGGTAAAACAATTTCATTCTACAGAATAAATTGATATCGATTGTTTCCTAATAGGTGAATATCGAAAAGATGAATTACTCGAAGCAGCTCGATCGGGTAATGAAGAAAAACTTCTAAGTTTACTAACATTGGCTAATGTCAATTGTCATGCAAGTGATGGAAGAAAAGTATGTTCAAATTTTCATTTAATCATCGACTAAAAATATCAATTATTTCCACTTTTCCTTAGTCAACGCCATTACATCTCGCTGGTATTTTTGTTTTTAATATTAAAAAATAATTTGTAAAAGCCTTTTGTTTTTATATTTATAGCTGGTTACAATCGATTAGCAATTTGTAAAATATTACTTGCACGTGGTGCTGATGTTTCATGCAAAGATAAAGGTGGACTCGTAAGTAATACGTTTAGAAATAAGGCTGATACAACACTCTATTCAAAATACGTTTATTTAGGTTCCATTACACAATGCTGCTTCATATGGACGTAAGTCATATTTACTCTTTTGTATATTTATTGACTAGTTCTATATTTAGATTACGAAGTTGCTGAACTTTTAATTCAAGTAAGATTAGTTTTTAGTTAGAGTTAATATTTGACTATAAATGTTTTAGCATGGTGCTCAAATCAATGCTTCTGATTTATGGCAATATACACCTATTCATGAAGCTGCTTCGAAATCACGTGTTGATGTTTGTACGCTTCTATTGACTCACGGAGCAGATCTCACATTAGCAAATTGTCATGGTAAAACAGCACTTGACATCGCTGCAAGTCGAGAATTACGAGATCGAATTTTATGTATGTTGACAATGGTGTTGAGTTCTTTTTGTTGATAATGATTCATTTTCTAGATGAATATAATGGATATTCGCTTCTGAATGCTGTACAGCAAGGAGATTTACATCGAATTAAAAAATTTCTAACTAATGAAACAATTAATTTTCAACATTTTAAAACAGGAGATTCACCATTAGTAGGTTCTGTGATTAATCATAATAATAGACAAAGCTATTCATTTAATCTATAGCATGTTGCTTGTACCTCGTCGTCTACGAAACATCGTCGACAAATTTTTGAAATGTTACTTCGACGTGGTGCTCTTATCAATGTTTTAAATACGACGTAAATAAATTGCTGATTTTCTTTTTGATCGGTTTGCTTTTGTTTTATGTTAGACAAATCGCTCCTATTCATTTATGTGCTGCTGCTGATCATAGTGACATTTTAGATATGTTATTGAAACATAAAGCTGATGTAAATACATCAAAAACTTTCTAGTTTCATTTTTTGAAAATTTATAATTTATAGATTAATTTACTGGATGGCCAAGGACAAACTGCGTTGCATCATGCAGCGAAAAATGGACATACAAATGCGTGTCGATTTTTGATTATTCATAAAATTGGTACTAAAATTCTTTCATCATGCGGACAAACAGCATTAGACGTAGCTTCATCATCGATTATTCAACAATTATTGATGAGTAAGTGATTAGAAGTGACGTTTAAATAAAATTCTTTTTTTAGCTTATGAAAATGAAAAAGCAATATTGACACCGAATGTAACCGATCTTCAATTACAACTACTTGAAGCATCCAAATCCGGTGATGTTGATGTTGTTAAGGTATATTGATTGATTTCTAAGGCAAAAGCTTTTCTTTTTGTTTTTTAAATAAAATTTCTTTTCCTTAGCGTGTGCTTACTTTCAATCCATCACTAGTCAATTGTCGGGATGCTCAAGGTAGAAATAGTACACCACTTCATTTTGCTGCAGGATATAATCGACTACAAGTTGTTGAATATTTACTATCGACAGGTGCTGATGTAACTGCAAGGGATAAAGGTAATTCAATCGACTTGTATCGTACAGAGGGTTTTCTTCAATAATGTTTTGTTCTAATTTCTTTTTCAGGCGGACTTGTTCCATTACACAATAGGTAAAATAAATCGTAATAATTCGAATCATTTATGCAATTACTTTTTTTCTTGTGGTTACCTAGTTGTAGTTATGGTCATCTTGAAGTAACAGCACTTTTACTTAAACATGGTGCGTCATCTCAAGTAACTGATCTATGGAAAGTAACACCATTACATGAAAGTGCAGCTAAAGGAAAATTTGAAATATGTAAATTGCTTATTCAAAACGGTGCTGATATAAATAAAAAGAATCGTGATGGTGCAATACCACTCGATTTAGTTAAAGAACGTGATAGTGATGTAGCAGATTTACTTCGTGGCGATAATGCTATTTTAGAATTAGCTAAAAAAGGAAATCTAGAACGGTTGCGAAAATTATTGACACCTGAAAATGTTAATTGCCGAGATCCATTAGGAAGAAATAGTACACCGTTACATTTAGCTGGTAAATAAACATGCACAAATCTTTTTTTAAAATTTTCTATATAAAATTGTTAATTATTTCTAGCTGGATACAATCATTATGAAATAGCTCAGCTTCTATTGGAAAATGGTAGCAATCCTAATGCTGTTGATAAAGGTGGACTCATAGGTAATATCCATATTGAATATTTTGAATAGAAATATGTTTTTTTTTTCTTCGTCTTCTTTCCTAGCTCTTCATAATGCATCATCGTTTGGTCATGTTGATGTTGCTACTCTATTAATTAATTATCATTCTGATGTTAATGCTCGTGATAATTGGTCGTATACGCCTTTGCATGAAGCTGCATCTAAAGGTCGTACTCAATTATGTTCCCTATTACTTGCTCATGGTGCAAATCCACATCTTCAAAATCAAGAAAACCAAACGCCAATAGATTTAGCCACTGCTGATGATGTTAAATCCTTGCTATTAGATGCAATGTCAATTCCAATATCTCCAACATCGCCAACTGGTAATCTCTATCGAACAACATTATCGTTGACGACTCGTGAAACAACATCAATACTCGGCGCCGAAACTAATGATAGTAATCCTTCAAGACAACGTTTAACATCTGCATCAAGTCAACAGCAATCGACTATTCAACGTCACTTACCCATCGGCGATGGTAGCATGAGTTTAGTAACAGATGAAGAACGTCGAGAACAAGCACTTCATATGACTATGGATGAATTTTTAAGTTTATGTCAATTTCAATCAAGTCAACAACAAGAACCAATCAGAGAATTATTTGAACGTGAACATATAACACTTGATATACTTGCTGAAATGACACATAATGATTTAAAAGATATTGGTGTTGTTGCTTATGGTGAACGACACAAATTACTTAAATGTATTGAACGATTATATAAACAAGCAAAAGATCCATGGTCGAATATTCCTGAGAGAGGCTCAGTTTTTATTGAACTGGATGCAAATGATCGAGAATATCGACTTGTTGAAGATGAAGTAATGTTAAACAGAAAACAAAATTCTATTAAAATTTCCTAAGATTTTCTTTCTCTCTCTCTCTCTTCTAGTTACAAAGTACTATTCGTGAACATAAAGATAATTGTGGTGGAATATTTACTCGTTATGTAGTACTAAAAGTAATAATAAGAAAGTTATTTACTAAAGTTTTTTTTTATCAAATTTTAAATTAGATTGAAAAAATTCGTAATCGACGTTTATGGGATCGTTATTGTCATCGTCGAAATGAAATTCAAGAAGATAATAATGGTCATGAAAATGAACGTCTACTATTTCATGGTTCGCCATTTCTTCATTCCATTATGCATAAAGGCTTTGACGAAAGACATGCATCTATCACTGGCATGTTTGGTTAGTTTAATTGATATTTTATTACTTTCGATGACAATATTATTTTCTCGTATAGGCGCAGGAATTTATTTTGCAGAAAATTCATCTAAATCAAATCAATATATTTATGGTATTGGTGGTGGAAATGGATGTGCATTACATACAGATAAATCATGTTATCTATGTGCAAGGTAATAGAAAGAAAATTGATATTTTCACTTTCGTACAAGAGAAAAGTGTTTTTTTTTGTAGACAAATGTTATTATGTCGTGTTTGTCTTGGACGATCATTTTTACAATATAGTGCATCGAAATTAGCTCATGCACCACCTGGCCATCATTCCGTTATAGGTCGACCTACTCAAGGTGGCTTAGCCTATCCTGAATATGTTATTTATCGTGGTGAACAAGCTTATCCTGAATACTGTATTACTTATAATCTTTTAAATCCAGTGAACAACGACAATGAATAGATATGCTATTTTTCTTCGATATTGTATAAAGATAAGATGCGATATATATAGATGTATAAATATGTAAACGAAGGGGCGATGTTTTTCCTTTCTTTTTCTTTTTTAAATAAATTCAATCGTTTCGTTTTTATGTTAAATTGAAGGTTGACGTTGATCGCAAGCTGCTAGATGAAAAAGTACTGGATGTTCTATTTGACCATCGCATTCTAATCGTGATAATTGTGCTTGTTCAATAGGTACTGCTGGTAGATTAATAAGACTTTGAAGAATATGATACGAATGTGTTTGATCAGTTGATACATGTGCTGCTTGACTTGCACGCCATTTTTGTAAAGAACTTTCAAGTTCAAGTAACGACATTTTAATCCGATCCTGAATTTTTCGTTTACGTAATGAATATGTCACATGCGAAAAAACAAGAAATATAAAAACAAGAATATACAAAGTCAGTACGAGAAAATGAGAACGTGATGCTTGAAAAGTAACACAAGTTGATATTGGTTCTGCACGAGTCTTATTATCGTATCCTTTCGAACGATTAAATTGCTGTTGTAACCGTTCAGAACAAATGATCGCACATACATGATACTTTCCAGCAGCTAAATGTTTTAATTCAAGTGAATTTCTCCAATAAGTTAGATTTTGCTCCGGCATTGAATATGTCACTGCACGATTGTGACGAATTGTAAATTTGTACATTTCACATGTTCGTTGATCAGTTTCTCGACCTATTTCAAATTGAACAGTAGCTGTATGAGAATCATACATTCGAGCACGAACATAAAATGGATCTAAGACAATAGTTTCGTTACTCGACCCTGAGATTTTAATAGGCAATAGAAGTATAAAACCAATCAAGAACAGAGCCATTATTCAAGTGTTCTCTTCTCCACATCGACGCAAAAAAATAGCACAACTAAGAATCGGGAAAGAAGCCTATCCATGCCATACTAAACAACATACGCACTAGCACTGCGCCAGGAAATAATTCTTAATACTTTTCTTCTTTTATGTTTGTCCAAATACGATTCGCTGAAGTTCTATTCATACTAACATACAGCTATAATCAAGAGTAATAAACAGGAAAGAAAATTGATATACATGGAAAGTGGCTTCATATACTAACTTTACTAGAAACAAACAGGCAAAATAACTTCAATATCTCTGCTTCTCTTCTTCCCCAAGGATTCCATATAGTTGACCCCATGAATAACGTACTATTCATAGAGAATAACAATCAAACACAAAAAGAAAATCAATCCTGCTGTGTACTATTATCATTCGGCCAACTTAATTAATTAGAATCAATTTGAGACTATGAAACAACAAATATGAGCAAGTAATAACCAAAATAAGTTCACATAGATCAATTCGTCTTTTTAGTTTTTAATATTATTCTTTGGTTCGTTCAAGTTGTTTAGCTTGTTTACAACTATTTGTTTGATGAATTGCATCTAATTTCGATGGTGCCAATGAACCACGATAAGATGGATCACTTGTAAAACTTGAAGCAATTCCAGCATTAACACTTTTACCATGTTTACCTGAACAATCAGTAGAACGATGATCGCCACATGGAGCTTTGGACGACATATTAATACAAACAATAATCTTTCTAATGATAAAAATTTGTTTATATGTAAATGTGTATTTTTTTAATTCTGCAAATTTCGATACCCAGGAGAAAAACGTTACGCTGTGGTCTCGATAAACATGAAAAATGCTTGAATGTCACGTATTTATTGATGCTACTACTCCTATTAGTCTCCTAACAGATAGATTTCTTGTTTTTATTGCAATTGACAACATCAACCAATTCAAGAAATAATGCATATCTACAAAAACAAAAAAACGCGAACAAAATAATAAAAACAAGCGAGCTCCTTCCTGTTTTTTCACCAGACACTCGTCTGTGGCATTCCAAAAAGATGCATAAATGAGGCGTCATTACTCTCTGTGACTTATCCCGTCATGACTGAGAACTCTATAAGAAGATGACACATTATTGAAGAAATTACGATGCGAAAAACTAGTGCAATAAGAAAAAGGAAGCAAGCTTTGTTTTTATTTCAATAATATTATTGGTATTATCTTACAAACAAACAAAAACGTTGATGAAAAGTTTCGTACTCAAAGTATGACTTTTAAATAAGACAAAAAATATAACAAGATACTGTTAACGTACTTCAGCTAAAATCATTCATACAGACATATATTCTGAAGTCATTCGTGAATAAATACAATCAATTGGATAGTTAAATGATTTTTGTTCAAGCTTCAATTCTAGAATTGATTGAATCATTGTGCAAATTAACTATTAAATGTATTGGATGATTAGTTGAATTGGTAAAATGTGGATTGTTTGATGTAGAAATTCCTGTGAAAAATGATTTCATCGGATAGCTTAGTTTGAATTCTAAAATGGATTTTTTATTAGTATGAAAAATTCATATTAACGTAGATGATAAATATTCAAGAGTTGTTTTCATATTCACTTACATTGTTTATCTTCTGAATCACGCAAATATTCCGTTGGATAACTGGATATACACTATGGATTTATTTTATTAATTGAAAAACATTTTCATTAACAACAAAACCATCAACACTGAAGAAAATCTCACTATTAAATGAAATAGCGAATGTTAAATTTATTTCTCAGAATTCTTTTATTATTTTCTAAGATAAATTTCTGCATTCCTTTGACTGCTTTTATAGATGCATTTTGTTTTCAGATGTCTGATATAATTAAAAGTGATATTGAAAAAATTGAACGCGCTTTGAATATTCGTGTTGATGATGTTGAAATTGAAGCTGTATTAAATGCTGGTAAATACATTTGCTATTGCCAAAAATAGAAAAATTCGTATGAACATGTTCATTAGTTTAAAAAAAGAGATCTTTTACTCTGCAGTTCTTGACTGGAACTAGAAAATGTAGTTGATAGTAGAGAAAAATATTCTCATATATATTTAAAATAATCATTAATGAAGAGACAAATTTGTTTTTCTTTACAAGCATTTCCACAACCCATTCCAAAAATCTTCACTGGCAACGACATAAAGAATGAAGATCTTGATGAAACTGTGAATTGTTATGATTTAGTCAAAGATTTGAACACTATTTATCCTCATATTGATCAATCATCTCTGCTAGCGTTTACTAAAGCACTTAATTTATCTTATCAACGAAACTTATTTCAACTATCAAAATATTTTCAATCAGCTGTAAGTTTATTTAAAAAAAAATAAAATTAATGTTTAATATTTTTTTATTCTCATCAAAAGGAAGTTTCCTATAAATCAAATCAATCAGTAAATGAAATTATTCCGACAAAAATATTTCATATTAATAATGATTATATTTCAAGTCATTTAGCAGTAAATTTAAATTATTTTTCTATATAAGAAATAAAATTTCATTTTTAAGACAAATAATGAATCAATACAAAATATTCGTAGAATGATGCAGCGTGAAGAAAAAGCACGTCTGAGTAAGTTGATTATTGCAGAATACGATTTCTTGTAAAAGCTTTTCATTAAATTAAGGTTCAAATGAAATAGTTAAAAAATTAATTGAAAATATTGCGAAAAATATTCGTTTAAATAAACAAAATCAACTGATTGAAAAGTAAAATCTATTTTCCTTTTTGAAATTTCAAGTTCATTTTTATTTTTTGTAGAATTGAAACTCTCGAAAGATCAACAGCTGATCAAAGCATTCGTAATAAAAAAATTGAATTGATTAAAAAACAACTTGACGATTTAAGGTTTCATTATTTTACTTTATGATTTAATAGTTTAATTCAATTCCTTTAGAGATTTATCAAATAAAGAATTAATCGACGAAGAAAATATCGATAGTTTTATTGATTGGACAAACATTTGTCAAATACTAGTAAGAATAAATTATTTTCTTGGCAAATTTAAATAAACTCAATCTCTATTAGATGAACAATCAATATACAGAGAAATCTTGTAAAAATGCTTGGCAACAAATATGCTTACCATTAATTCATTCAAATGCAAGTTGGTCATCAGAAGAAGATCAATTACTTGAAAGTTTAGTACAAAATTATGGTTCATTTGCTCAACAATGGAATATCATTGCTTCACATTTTGTAAGCCGATATAGAAATTAAAGAGATACCACCCATCATGTTTGTCTACTCTAAAAATATCAATTCGACGAATGTTATCTTTTCAATATTTTGCATTGCGAGTTAAATAATTGTTTATTTTAGCCTCAACGTTCATCATATACGTGTGCAAGTCGTTATATGTTTTTAGAAAATTCTCGTTTAAGTAAAATGTAAAAATAAATTTTTATTGAAAACATTTTCGTTCATTTTTATTATTTATTAAAGGAAATTTTCAAAAGATCAAATACAAGACGTAAAAGAAATAATCGAGAAGAATCGTGATAATAATTATATATCATTAAATAAAGTTGCCTATCAAATGGGCTTCAGTCTTTCAACCATCCGTCGAGAATGGCGCAATATCGATCCAAATGTTAAACGCGGCGTATGGAAATTAGAAGAAGATCAAGTATTTAGTTTTGCGTTTATTTTAAAGTTTTATTTTATGTTTTTTTAATAAAGAATCTTCTTCGAAGTGTATTAAAACAATCAAATCGTACTAAAATAAATTGGAATCTAGTCTCGATAGATGTAATTGGTCGTTCACAAACAAAATGCTACCGAAGATTTATTCATTTAACAAAAAATAATCTAAAAAAAGATTTCCAACCAGAAGAAGATCAATTATTAATTCAGCAACATCAAATTAAAAATGGTAAATTGTAAATAGAAGGAAAAAAGATCTTCTCTATATTTTAAACCAATTTTAAATTTTCTGCACTATTGAATAATTAAAAGAACATGTATTAGAGTATTTTAATTCTGATATATATATATGTTTTATTTTATGAATAACTTTCTCATTGTCGATAAATTTCAGAATTCTTAAGAAAAAAAATGTCTAAGATTTATTTCTTTTTGTGTCAAATATGTAGTATTGAATAGAGACATATTTTAGGTCGTTGGTCGGAAATTCAATTGTTATTTCCTGGACGATCATCTTATTCATTACAAAATCGATGGAAGAAATTAAATGAGTATAAAAAAATCAATGAATTATTTTATAGTCAACAAGTAATTTTATTTTTTATTTAAAACTAATTTAATTGTATTTTTTTAATTTAAGTTAAATATGCAATTATTTCTTTTAAAGCAGTATCCAGCAAAAAAAGAAACAGTAAATAATATAAACAATAATAAATATGATTCACCAAATATTGAATTAAGTTATAACCAATTAAAATTTTTAACATCAAATGATTTATTTAAACAATTTTGTAATGAAGTCGATTTAAATAATTTAATCAATAAAATTGGTATCAGATCTTTTATTAATAAATTATCAACATTTAATAATATTCAACAAATTAAAGATTTATTTATTTTTCAATAAAAGAGTAAAAAGTTGTACCATGAATAAAATACGTCATTTAATGATCTTGACTTCATAACTGATAAAGATACAGTTCACTTTGTGCAAGTAGATGCAATAGGAAATATCTATTGCTTCTTTTGGAAAAGAGATGGTCGCAAGTTTTGTACGTCCTCTGCTTACAGAAATCGATGAGACACCAAAACACGTGTTCTGTTGTTTACGAGAAGAAAACTGACTACATCAATTTACAATACTCAAGATTTCTCATTGCTATTATTGATATGTTACATATTTGCAAAGTCAAAGGACTAGCAGAATTCGTGAACAATTTTCTATTCAAATTGACTCTAGAAAAATGAATTCTATCTCTAGTCCAAGTCTACTAGCCAAAATACTGAGCGATGACCTGGTTTTCTAATAATGGTTTGTTTTCTCAATGTTGATAGAAATAATTTCATTGAAATAGGCGGTTTCCAGTATGATCAATTATAATCAGTCGTTGTGCTCATCAATTTTTGATGAAAAAACACCACTGTCGATAAATTAATCGATGAGTACGAATTATAAAAGATTGCTGGTGTTTATGCGTATAAGATTTCAAAATAAAGAACAATTAATTGAATCTCTATTACTGAAATCTATTAGTATGCTAAATATTCGTAAGAAAATAAGTATGGATTTGATTTAGCTGGAAGAATATCTTATCTCTTCTTTTTTGTTTTGTTTATTTTATAGGGAAAATGCTCAAAATGAGCATAGATAACAAACAAAAAACAGACAATCTTTTGATGAATAAGAAAACAAATTACGATAGGTTTTATTTATATGATCCAACAGCTTGTGATGGATCACTTGCTGCTTGATTTTGTAATGCTGGTTGCTGTTGTAACGTCATTGATGTTAAATGTTTACCAATACGATCATGAACCTAAATAAATAAATAAATAAACATTGAGATTTAAATAAAACGAAATAATTTACATCCATATATTTAGCAACACATCGATCAATGCATACAGATTCACCTTTAGTTAATTCTGAATCTTTATATCTTGGTGTAACACATTTTTTATGACAAGTTGTTGTCATTCTTTATTTAAATAATAGAAGAAAAAAAGTCAATATATAATTTTTAATTAAAATAAATTCAATAACCTTTTATAAAGATCTTGCATCGCTTCAATTTCAAGGTCTCCAGCTGCTTGCCATTCATTAGTATTAAGTCCAGTAGCCATTTTATTTTATCTAAAATGTATTTTCTTAATTTAAAATCATTTTATGTTTATAGATATATTTATATGTACATAATAATAGCACGAAATAAATTCTTCTTGCTTACATGATAAAATTGATCCAATGCATATGCTTTGTTTTTACATTGGTCGATAAATAGGTGGCGGTAGAGGAGGAGAATTTTTATAATTATGATATTGGTGCGATTCTTGAGGGGTCCACGAGAAATTTATTTTATCCCGTTTTACTAAACTATATATATATTGAACTCCCTTTACTCCTTTCAATCCTTTTACAACCTTTACTTCTGTAATAGTAGTGCTAAAGACAAATAACTTCTGATAATGAAACAAGAAATCATAGTTTATGATTATCACTTTTCAAGTTCAAATGGTTGACTCAGGATTGAAATTAAAACGTTTACAATTAAAATGATGAAATAAAGACAGAAAATAAAAAATAATATAGTATAGTCAAGCAACGTTTTAACGACGAATTCGCTTGTTCACATCACACAGTGTGTATATCTGAAGAAAGCTGCTATCTTTCGAACATACATCACCCTTGATAGAGAGTAAAAGGAGTACAGGGAGTAAAAGGACTAAAAGAAGGGTGTGGGTTTGTAACTTATATATAGAAAAGTAAAACGGGATAAAAGAAATTTCTCGTGGACCTATTGGACTCACTTTAGCTGAATTAAACAATGTTCTATCTGCTTGATTAAAACTTATTTTTTATCACAATTAAAAACAAACTTTTAAGGAGTTCACATGCTGTAATCAGATAGTTGCTATATATATATATATATATATATATCATACAACGTGTTTATTTATCTTGGTAATATTCGTATTCTTCTTTATTCATTTCTTTGTCCTGAATGAACAATAGTGTGATAGACGAATCATAAATTTACAGTAAGATAAGTCAATATTCGTCGTGAAATAATGAAATCTGCATCACACACTTCTCCAAACAGTCGTCATTTAAACTTCCATTTTTTTATAACGAAGTTTTATTTCAATGTTCGTATTTTCGACATTTTTACTTTCGACCAAATTCAAGTTTACCTTCTTTTCATTGACTTAAAAAAGTACACTTTACAATGTATACCCTAATTTAAGATCTTAAAAAAGCGACAGATTTTTATTTCTTTTATTTAGTGTTCGCGATGCACGTAGTAAAATATTTATATCTTCTGGGAGCGCCATAGACTTGAGTTTTTTTTGTCAAAAAGTGCAGGTATTGATGTTCATATATTTGTTTCATCACAATTTTCGTTTGCCAATTGATGAGTCATGTTGTCTACATCATTGAATCATTTGCCATCGTAATTGTGTAATAACAGTTGCATGAGATTTTTTATTATTATTAATAAATGCAAACTTTATAGCAGAAGTAGAAAGACACAAAAGAAAAACAAGAGCATAACAAAAGTATGGGTGGAAATGCGCTGAAAAATGTAGTAACTCGTCGCTATGCACGAAATGAATACTATATATTAAAGGAACGTATATTAAACAAACTTCAAGGACGTATTGATCAATTCGATGTGCCTAGAGAATTTCCATGCAAAGAATCTTTTGGTGATATCGATGTTCTTATGGTATGTCAATCATCAATGAATATTCGAAATTTAATTGAAGAATTATTTAATCCAAATGAAATTGTAATGAATGGTGATGTTTATTCGTTTGATTTTGAACAATTTCAAGTCGATTTTATTCTTGTACCAGAAGAACAATTTGATAATGCAACTGTTTACTTATCCTATTCCGATTTAGGAGGTTTAATTGGCAATATTTGTCATAAAATTGGTTTGAAATATGGTATGCAAGGTCTTTGGATGAATGTACATACACAAGAATTCGATCCGACAACAACATCAACCAAGTTAATATTATCAAGAAATGTTAAAGAAATATTTGATTTTCTTGGCTATAATTATGAACAATATATGAAAGGTTTCGATAGTGAAAATGATTTTTTTCAATGGATAATTGACGGAAAATATTTTCGCTGTGTTTATTTTGATGATCAGCAACTTAATCATGCACATCGACAGCGCACATCTAAACGTCCTATTTATATCAAATTTCGAGCATATTTAAATCAACTATCAAAAAGTGAAACCAATGAGTCTTCTCAAGATCACAATGAATTTATTCGTAAGATTCGTCAACAAGCATTAATCTATTTTAAGAAAGAAGAAGATTATCATCAAGGATTATGCCAACGTGAAGAAAAAAGACAGCTGAAAGATAAATATAATGGTCGTTATTTTTGTGATATCGATGATGGAAAACATATGGTTCGAGTGCATATGAAAAACTTCGAAAAGCGTTTTGGTAAAACTGACGAAGAATTTCATCAATGGATAGTTGATACTGATCATGATACCATTAAATTAGAAATTGAGAAATATAAAAATGAAATCAAACATAGTCAATCTTCTTAATCGAATTATTTTTTCTTTTTTAATTATTAATAAAAAGCTTTTATCAGATATAAATTTGACTTACTGATTTATGTTGCATCATACGAAACCAACATCGTGATTCTGTGACCTGCAACAGGGTCTAAGATTTCCATACAATCAATAGTTCAATCCAATTATTTTAATTGCTTTTAAATTTTCGAAACTTCTTCCGTCCTTCGTTTATTATTAAAATGTTATATATTCTCGAATATGGTCAGACATAAGAAATATAAATATTATTTTCTTATGCGATGTTCAATCAAAAAAACCATGCGCATTTTCTCGTTTGAAAAAGTATTTTCCAATGAATACTTCACATAACATACATAGCGAACAAAAACAAAAGATTATATTCTCTATGTATCAATCCTTCATTTGCTAATCAATAGCCATGTTAAACATAATTTATTGCTAGAGATAATAGGCGATTCTTGTTGTTCATCCTTGGGCGTCGTTTTTTTTATAGAACGATGATCATTTACATCGAGTGTTTATGTACATGGTCGCAAATGCCAATTATCGACGGGTAATGCCTGAAGTTGATGGATAGTTCGCCATGACATGATAAACCAAACCAAACCCAACAGAAGACAGATAAGAATTTCATAGAAATAGGTTTGCTCTTGAGGAAAGGAGATATAATTTATGGTCAGTAAAATAAATGAAACAGCCAGTAAATTATAAAATCAGTCAAATTATTGATTGATCAGTAAATTACTTGAATGGTCAGTTAAAAATTAATGAGGTTTGTAAATAAATTTAAAGATCAATAAAAATATTTTTTTGGCAGTCAATTTTTCTATAAAGGGTCAGTATAAAAATTCAAATAGCAGTAGAGTGAATCACATTTGTTCTTCTTTCTTTTTTCTCTCAGCTGTTCTACATACTATATTCACATTAGTCTGTCCTTGTTCTTCCTTTAACCTCTCTTTTGTGAATAAGAAGAATCTTTTTTAATTCTGCTTTTATTCATTATCTAAAATAAAACACAAGAACCCTCTCGATTTCTTGTCTGGTCGCTGTCTTTATCTATCGTCATGTATAGATATTTAATATTTTTCAAATAAAAATAACATATTTAACGTTTACAAAATGAGACGTATTTTTAACTATGCAAGTGATTCAAATTGCTCAATATGAAAACGATATACCAGATGAAGAGGAGGTGGAAGAAGATCATGAAATAAATGGAAATAAAAGAACCCTTGAAAAAAAGACATCAAATAGTTGAATTAAAAGATGCATCTGATAAAGCTGACGAAGCAGAAGCATCAGTTGAAAATCAATTGTCAAAACATTACACACACTATACAGCAGTGGCCCTATTCTAAAATCTAGAATTCTGAAAATTCCAAAATTCCATCTATGCTAATATCACATCAATTCATATAAATTTAGTCCAGAATTCTAGAATTTTAGAATAGGGACACGTCTCGAAACGAAATAATAATCAACATCAAACCGATCAACACTTGAACCGGTAGTATCCAAGTTTGTCGACGATCCAATTGACGAATGTAAAAGGCATTAATCAGAGGAGCCCATAATAATTTCAAACTGAATGAATGCATGACAAACGACAATGAACCTTGTTGCTTCCACGTAGCACCGAATGAAGTCAGATATATAGGTACCGTACTAATCAGACCCAATACAATACCTTGTAATAGGTGCAGCATTAGTACGACAATAATGCACAAAAAGAGAAGTGGTTGCGATGGAACCTATGTATCCCAGGTCAATGATTCCGGAAGACGAATACTGTAGGAACTGACCGGAAAGATGCGGAAAAATCACCGTATCTGGCCGAAAAGCTCGGGAAAGCGCTGCAAAGTGGAAGCAGTATTCCAGTCGGAAATTGGCGGATTTTTTTCCGGTGTATTCCGGTCATCTTTCAGCCGGAAATCACAGGAAACTGACCAGAATCCATAGGAAAAAAACAGTAATTTCCGGTCGGAATACTGCTTCCACTTTCCAGCGCTTTCCCGTGCTTTTCGGCTGTTTCCCACCGTACCTCTACGACCTGGGTATATGAAAATCTGCAGCTTTTTTTATCAGAGAATAAAAGCCTACAGACATACTCGTTTATTGTCTGGAGGAGTCATCGGGTATTGTTAATGTGATGCGAGTGAAATCGTATCGTTTTACTATTATGAGAAATGTATGCATTTGCATATTTCATAAAGTGATCACTCACAATCCCTATGAGGTAAAAATACTAAGATAATTTGTAAATAGAAAGTTCTTTAAGGATTTCTAGAAGTTTAACGTAGCAAAAGTTCAATAGCTCAGTTAAGTCTTAATAAAACTTCAAATATTTTTAAACATTTTAAACAGACACCATGTAGTATTTATAAAAGACAACATAGAGTAATCTACCAGGTATATTGAAGAAGGTACTCTCGATTAGTAAGCTATGCGAAAGAACTTTTATTGTTATCACATGAATTCAAACAAACACTTTATATTTCGTCAAGTTCAATATTAAAGTTGTGTTAGTATCATGAAATTTAAGTTTGTAAAATATTTTGGTAGAACTCAAAAATGTTTTATCGCAAGATGCATTATCTAGAACAGAATTACGTATTGTTGAGATGAAACATATTCGTTTGAGTGGAATACAAAAGTCCAACTTAACAGAACATTGCTATGATAAGATGGTGCATTGTGATAATAATAAAAAACAAAGTTTACTGCTCCTTCCCAGTCAAAATAGTAGTAAGCCTATGATAGCAAGTGTTACGAATAAACGTGAGTGTCCATTTTTATCTCTACATAAAAAGGTGAATGTTCTAGTAAATATTGAAGTTCTTTCGGTCGGCTTATGCTTGAGTTATTTTAGTTTATCATCTTTAAAGTGCTTGTAACCGTCATTTTAATTTTTGTTACTTTATCAATCCGTCATAAACGCACACTTCTTTTATTTTGAGTTGCCATTCGTGTAGCAAGTCTGCAATGGTAATACACGAGATGAAAACGAACTTTTAATGTTGCATATACCTCTCTTTTTTATTATCTTGTACTAGCTAATATTTATGGAAAACAACGAGAGAGTGCCTCACAATATTTTGTTTGTTTTTTATTACACCCACTTTAATAAATAAGAAACACTTGCTGTGTTCTTTATCATATGGTTAATGTGTTTTAGACTTGGTTTCATATTCGTTTAAAACTAGCAAAACACTTGCGAAATAAATGAATGTCAATACTACTACCTATAATCCTGCTGTTGGTAGGACTCGAAATTTCTTTTCGATTCTTTAAAATAAATCAGTAATATGCTACGTTTAGATCCTAATAACCCTTTTGGCTATCTACCAAATCGTGACCTAACCATAGCTTCAACTGTTGTGTACGGTCTAGTAACAATATTGTTAACGATATTTTCACTTAAGCATCGAACATGGTATTTTTTGGTAATGACTATTTCCGGCATTGCAGAAGTGGTTGGCTATGCATATAGATGGTCACTAGCTAAGAACCCTGATCAAAGAACACCGTATGTATAAATACTAAGCGCTGAAACACTATTAGTTGAGTTCTTATAATTGAAATTTATGTAAAAATAAGTACAGAAGTCGTGATAATGACTGTAAAGAAATTCCTTTAGCATTCACTTTAAACTATTACACTTTTTCTTCTAAGTTATATCATTATGTATTGCTGCATTGTTTTGGCTCCGGTTGGTTTAGCATTAGCCGATTATTTATTGGTTGGTCGTCTTATTCGATTGGTTGGTCGACAATATTCAATAGTGAATCCAAAATTTGTTGAATTCGGATTCATAACCTCAGATATACTATCAATTGGAGTTCAATCAGCAGGCGCAGGACTCATAACAAGTGGCAGTCTAAGTAACATACCACTCGGAAGTAATGTGTTGATTGGAGGATTAGGTATCAATTTAGTTAGCTTTTGCTTTTTTGGTTTTGTTACACTTCACTTACATTGGTCTATTCATCGGGGTAAAGCTGATTTTACTGGACAGGAACGATGGGTAAAAATATTCTATGCATTGTATCTTAGTATGATTCTATTGATTATTCGTTCTATTTATCGTATCGTAGAATTTTCTACGGGTTTTCGAGGTTATCTTGCTATACATGAAGTGTACTTTTATGTTTTTGAATGTCTCCTGATTGTATTTGCATTTGCTCTTTTTGTGCCCCTACATCCTGGTATTTGGATGCCACGTGAAGATACGGAATCGCTTATCAAGAAATCACGCAAAATATAGTTCCCATCATATAATAACAACAGTCATCAGTATTGGCAAATTCAAGCAGTACCTGATAATTTCAATATTAAAAATACCAATTATATGCGTGCACAAGCAACCGAATAGATAATCCCGCAATTTCTTGACCAATGATTTTGTTTCGTTTAATGTAACTTATATACACATTTTTTTGTAAATAAAGTTGAAAGAGATGTAACAAAATTCAAAGTTTAAAAGCTAACTCATAACGTGCGCCAACGCTAATAAAAATCAGCTTTGGAATTTATATTTTAGAAGCCGGTAAATTCTAGAAATAAACGATGTAGTATAGATCTCTACATATCCATGATGATAGTTCATCAGATGCAAATAATTTAGCACAAGCAGTTGAAACTGTTTCTTGTTCAACTACTTTAATGAATAAACCGTCAACATCTTCACTAATTTTTATAGATAAACTTGAATGTTTAAATTGTTCATCACAACTCAATGATGATAATTTGGAATGCCCATATTGTACACAAGTATTTTGTCGCATTTGTATTGAATCTAGTTGTGATAGTTCAAATCATGAACATTATTGTCCAACATGTTACAATAAAGTTCGATTATCGGAGTATCGTTAATCAAAAATTATTGATAAATTTGAAATGGAAGGGACTTCGGCTTTAAAATGTTTAAACTGTCTTTTAATACCAGAAAAACATAGATTGTCTTGATCCAAATTGTTCAGCTCTATTTTGTTACGAATGTTGTAAAAAACTAAATGAAAAACTAACATCAAACGTTACGGAAGAGCTCAATTCTACTGTGAAAATTATGTGTCCTCAATGTGGAAATGCTGAGATGTATGGAAGTAATGTTGTCATGTATTATTCTTATCGAATAATTGAATATAAAATAGCACAAGAATCAGAATCAAAGTCTGATGTAAGTATATCGTTCCCAAATACTGTATGGACAAACGAAGATTATGTACCTGAAAGTGGAACATTAGAAGAAAATTATAATCGAATTATATCAGTTATTCATTTCAATGCTGATCATATTCAATTTAGCGATAAAAAAGAACATTGTCCATTGTTAATAATAAATGAACCAGCTGAATATACATGTCCTGAAAGTACTTGATTAAGCTATTGGAATATTGATAATAATGTAAATCGATGGGAAGATGATAACAATGTTCGATTGTATCAATACAATCAAAGTTTAATTGCAGCTTATATATCACATTTTATAAGTTTTACTGCTCGCAATAATCGATTCAAAGAATGTGTTACGTTAGATGACGCGTTTCTTGATAGGACTTACGACTACGATTTTACAACATCAAAAGATGCCAATAGGACTTTTCAACGTGGTCCAGAACCTTATACACGACTGTGTGGATGGGATAGAAAAGCTATTAAAGTACTTGGAAATATGAAAATGCTGAATGGCTAGGGACGACTAGAGATACATGGTCTGTAGTACCATACGAGGGACGACAATTTCAAGTCATGTTTCAAGTGAGAATTAAAAATAGTTCAATCACAAACGTGATCAAAACATATGGACATGTAATAATTCGCAGGATGTTCGACCTTATGGAATATTATTTAAAGAAATATAATTTATTATTAGTGTTTTAATATATGATAGACATATATTTTTTGTTACCTGTTTGCAACTAATCCCAAAAATTGTTATGTAGTGACTATCCAATCTTAGAGTATAATTCCTTCAACTATGTTCTGCCGTATGTTAAAAATTTTGGTATTTTCGAACTCGTCGGTGCATTCATATACGTATTTATAGAGTGATCATTTTGTACGTTTTCCTTTTGTTGCCTTCTTTTCTTTTTTTCAATCTATGAGTTTAATGAATAAGTTATGAGCTATTTTTCCCTCTGATTCTCATATTAAATACGCCAGATGTTTTAAATTTTATTTGTTCTCTTCAAACATAAAATAAATGTGCAACGTAACAATAAGTCATATATAATGAATGCGGGAAACTTACCCATTATAGAGAAACACAAGTTTCATTTGTCATATTTCCTCTTCGATTTGACGCAATGTTGTTAAATAAGGAACTGCTCTCGTAATAGCAATATCAGCAGTGTTTCGAAAAACATGACTAGGATGATCTTATCCAAATGGTACGACATGTGGCCCAGCTACTTATTTATGATACGCTGAAGTTTTTAATCAAGATAATGCTTGTAGTATTTTTTTCTTCTGATAGGAAAGAATGAAAAGGGTTATTGAAATTACAACTGAAAATTACCGTTAATCCTAGATTTAAAAAAATTATATTCCTAACATTAATTTAAGTCTGGTTACAAGAAAACAAATCAGTTTACAGAACAACCGACCCAGGTCGACTGATCCAACATCGGATCCGATAGGAACCCGGAAATATCCTACAACCCGATACAATTCTATTGGATTTCGGGTCGAGGAATCGATGTCAGATCCTCAGTGTCGGGTTTCTATGAATTCCAACGAAAAACCGTTGTATGTCATCGGAAGTTCATAGGATTCCGACATCGATTCCTCGACCTGGAATCCAACGATAATTCTGTAAGATCTGGCAGGATCCGATAAAATCCTATTGGATTCCAGTCTGATCGGATGGGTTCCGATAGGTGCCTACTATCGGATTGCTCGACCTGGGGACGCATGAATATCTACGAAGCGCAAATATGGATACCAGCGTTAATGAACAATACTGAACTTGTTAATTCGTATCTGTATCTACATATGTATAACAACACTCCCTCACTTCTTTTCCCTTATGCCTCATATCGGTTTTCTACTGTACAAGCGTGTATTGCAACTGGGGAAGACAGTGCAAAAATATCATACAAAGTTTCTCCCTAAATGAAGTTTGCAAGTCTCAAAACATATATATCATTTTGATATGACATCTATAACGATAAAGGATCATATCGCTGCTATATGTGCATAAGGGACTAAAACTAGTTTTCGATTTGTAAACTATAAAACCAATCGAATTCGATTTAGATATATCTTTAATTTCCAAAATAAAATTTCTTTAAATTTATTATAACGTTATTTTAAAAAGGTTTTGATTAAGAATTCTTTTAAAGTGTGAAATTAACTCGATTTTGAAAGAAAATAGATGACACTAGTTTTGTTTTCTTTTTCACTAAAGCAAAAGGTTTCGGTCTTTTCAATATTATAATATAGGATGTTTATTTAGATTTACAAATGCAACTGTTTTAAAATCTTCATACATCTATAGTTCCAATTCTATGTTGATTATAATAAAATTTTTATTTCACTTTATCTGCTCAATTGGTCGTTTTTTTCGTAAAATTTTTCAATTGATATTGGGAAGACGTCATGATGAACTTGAAACATCGTTATCGAAAACTGAACCAGTTACTTTAGAACATATTCGAATTATTGGCGAGATGGAAAATGATCCCGATCGTCCTTATCAGTCATTTAGTACAGCTCCAAAAGTAAATCTAACGACAATTCGATTTAATTATTGTTTGATTTTTTATTAGATACCACAAGCAGAATGGAATTCTTGGGGTGCTGAAGATATATTTCGACAAAAACAACTTGCAAATAATTCACCAACAGCTGAACAAAGTGATGCAAAAATTGACTATTTTAGTGATATCGCAGCAACCGTTAAGAAAACACCTAAAGTAACATATAAAATAAAATTCAACTTATAAATAATTTTTAACGATTAATATTTAGATTGTTTTAAAAAAACGTATTAATGATAATGATAATTTTAATCTAAATGATCAACGGCTTAATCGATTACAAATGACTAATGACGAACTGGTTGATTTTGTAAGTTAAATCAATATGAACTTTTACAATTATTTATTTATTTATTTTTCCTAAAAGCAACCTGGCCTTAATGAATGGCAAGATAGCGACGGGAATATACACACGACAGGTCATAATACTTGGGATGGCGATGATGATTTTAATGAGCTTTCACAAGAAGCAAATGAAGCTATGCGGGGTATAAAAAAAATAGTATATTAAATAGAATTTAATATTGTTTAATGATTTTAAATAGAAACTCGTCGTATTGAACGTGAAAGAAAAATACGTGAGCATCAACAACGTAAATTTGAAAAAGAAGCATCAAGAACATCAATACATAAACGTGATGGTTTATCATAACTCTTTTCTTTCTTTAATATATTGTATTTATTATTCTATGTTGATTATTAAATAATTAGAATCTCATAAATCAAATATTGACCTTGTTCACAATTGCATTCCAATAGAAATCAACTTTTTTTTGAAACTCATATATAATGATGTGTTCATTTTTTTCTCCCAACTACTTGGCTCTCTGTTTCTAAGAATATCAGTTTAATTATTCTATGAATTTATCTAATCGGCAATCTATAACATACTAGCGTGTGTGCGCACAATAGCATTTGATAGAATAATAAAGAGCTCATAGTTGAACTCGATCCGCAATCGCTGTGAAAGCAACTACCAACAGCGGTTTCATGCTCTTTTCTTTTTTCTTTTTTTTTTGTCATACTCGTACGACTTAGTATGAAGGCGTCGTGTTCAAGTAGTTCTTTATAAGATTCGTCTATCTATTATTACGGAGCCTAGCAGATTACTTGATACCCGTTGTACTAACCAAAAAATCGATAGAACACAAGAATATTTTTGATTGCTTCGCTAGGGAAAAAGACAGATTATGTTGGGTTGTTCCTCTCTTCCTGTTTTTCCTCACTCCCTTGTTCTCCCTCTCTTTCTCTATTTCATTTCTCTTTCCTGGTGAGATAAAATACGCACGGGTTTTTTCATATGATAGCACTATTTAGTATCAGGAACATACAATAAATCTTGTTTACTTGCACATGTTTTACATCTTATGAGTAGGTATATACAATATAAAACTCTACCAAATATATCTATACAAGGATTTTGTTTTATCGATTGACAGATAGACAAACAAAGATAATATATTGCAAAGAGCGAATCATTTTTATCTAGTAGAATAACATAGATGCTCATTGAGTAAGTACATCTTAATCGAAATGCTCGAATAAAAATGTGCATTTTTCCTCTTTCATACTCAATCAAAATCGTTTGCATAATCTAGAAAAAGGAGAAAGAAAGAAGAGGAATAATTATCATTTCATGTTAGTCTACCGCTTTAAATAGTAATGCTAGAGAAGAAGTGTTAGTCATCAGCGGAAGAAAATGTTTGATGTAAGTCATAATATGTTCGGTCAATTTAAGTACATAGTATATGTTGGTGACTGATAGGAAAATTACGCGTGAATTATTTTAGTGTTTTACGTATTAAATAATCCAGTGTATTTCTCATTTCCGCCTTTCTACTCTTTCTTTTTTTTATCGGCTCAACACGGATTGTTGCTTCGAGAATAATTGAAGAGTCTTTTAATGACGAAAAAAAAGTTAAGTAACTAGATTAAATCTTTATTTATGTATTCATTATCATACAATTAATAAATCAAGTATACGGAAATGTCTGGTTTCAATTTTAGATTGCTTTGTTTTATATATTTGATACGAGACACAGTAAAAGGAAGAATCATAACAGACTCGATATTAATTTGCTTTCTTGTCCTTCTATCACCGTTTATAATAATAACTGATGTCGGCCTAGCATGTCCTTTTTTCTATTTTAATCTACATTTTGGCATCAACCATTAGCATGGATGCTGTCGACAAACGATTCCATAGTAATTGATTCTTATCTCTTTCTTTTTCTTCGTCTACTTCTTGTCGACGGAAACGGCCACATTGTTCTAGGTTTTAGCGTAACATTAGATTCTATGATGATGAATAAGGAGAGAAACATTCGCTTATTTTTTATGAATCATTTAGTGAAAAAAAGAGAGTAGTCATTCGTTTCTCGTTTTTGCGTATGAAACATAATTCATTACATTCTACAAATAGCATTGCTCACATAATGTGTAATCGAGAAAAGCAAACGTGTTTGAGATAATCAGTTTAACTAGAATGATACATGAAACTATGGTACTACTTTCTGATCGACCCGATATGACAGAATCGACTTTTGTAAGAAATTATGATTGATAATACAGAGAAAGAAAATCTTTGTTCTTTTTGTGGAACTCACATATATTTTCGGAGAAAATGGCGAATGTAAGTTAAAAAGCGAGATTTGTGCGGCTCCAACACCACCCTCCCCCTCCCCATTATAGACGTTAATGAGTTTAAAAATGTGCTAACTAGGAGCTTGACTAATTAGACTGTTATTTCTTCCTTTGCTAATTACAGACTACACGAAAAAAGGTAATGCTGGCCCACTACAGATTATAGCAACCAGTTTAGGGTATCATTACAGACCATAGAAGCTAGTCTCTACCATTGTTAAATATACGAGCTAACAATTAATACTCCATTACAGACATAAGCAAATAGGCAACGACCTAATTATAGGTTTTGGAAATCAAAGTAGATTTTTCAGATGAACTATTTTGAATTGTTTAAATAAGCCTAATGGATATATGTGAGTTCCACATTTTAGTCCCAAACGGGCTGCGCTAACAAGCTTTTGTTTTTATTATTCCAGCATTCAAATAGAGTCAATTCTGCTATACAAGCTTCATATATGACATCCAAACAACACGAACGACCTAGTACTGGTTTTAATTCAGAATGTAAGTTCTTTCTCCTGTTTATTTTTACTACCAATTCTATTTATCTATTGTATTCTCTATCATTCAATGCGTCGAATACTCCAAAAAATCGTAGATGTAATGAAACAGTTTTCAGAACAAAATAGCTTTTTCTAGCTGACTTTAGAGTTATTTTTCAAAATGCACGTTTTGTTTTTTGTTTTTATTTTCAATTAGGCGATATACGCAATGCGCAAGAAGGTTTTGGAACATGCGGTTGGATTCTGGTCGCACTATCTTATTTCCTATGTCTTGTAACATTTCCCTTTTCGCTCTGTGTGACAGTCAAAGTAAGTAAAAACATACATAGATTAGCGAGGAAAACAACATGATATTCAATATAATAACACAATAGGTTGTACAAGAATACGAGAGAGCAGTTATTATGCGTCTCGGTCGAATACTTTCTGGTAATGATAATTGAAGAGAAGAAAACTAATGTATTGCTAATCGGTTTTTGTTTTGTTTTTAAGGTGGTGCCAAAGGTCCAGGTTTATTTTTTGTGCTGCCTTGTGTTGATTCAATAATGAAGGTTGATTTACGAACAGGTATGCATGAGAAAATGATTATCGAAATAATATAATTCATTAAGAATGTTTAAGAGAAAAATAAGTGATAAACTTATTGTTCGTATTTTTCAGTTACATTTGATGTTCCTCCTCAAGAAATTCTGACGCGAGATTCCGTGGTATGTGAATAATAAATTATAAAAACAAAATTGTAACTTTCAATCGGTTTTCTTCTTCTTTTTCTCTCACCTATAGACTGTATCAGTTGATGCTGTTGTTTATTTTCGAATATTTAATCCTATAATCAGCGTAACCAATGTGGAAAACTCACGTTATTCAACACAATTACTTGCTGCAACAACACTTCGCAATATTTTGTAAGTGAATTGAATGACAAGAGTAACAACATAATCAAAAAAGAATCACATGACAATTTAGAGGTACAAAGTCATTGCAAGAAATTTTATGTGATCGTGAAAATATTTCACATTCAATGCAAGTGCACCTGGACGAAGGAACAGATCCATGGGGTGTTAAAGTTGAACGTGTAGAAATGTTAGTTACTCTTCAGTAAACAGGCTTTTGCAAACAATCGAATTACTATATTTTTAGTAAAGATGTTCGTCTTCCTGTTAATATGCAACGTAGTATGGCTGCTGAAGCTGAAGGTTCGAAATAAGATTTTTTTTTCTTTTTCAATCTTTTGTAAATCAATGGAATATTGTTTTTTAGCTGCTCGTGAAGCTCGTGCTAAAATAATTGCAGCTGAAGGTGAACACAAAGCGTCAAGAGCGTTAAAAGTAAATATTTTATTATTGAGAAAACGTGATATAAACTTAAAAAACAAATTATACATATTTAAGGAAGCTGCGGATGTGATCAATGAAAGTCCAATAGCACTACAATTACGTTATCTTCAAACGTTAACACATATATCAGCAGAAAAAAATTCTACGATTGTTTTTCCAATACCTGGTAAAAACATCTTTATGAATTTTAGCATAAATATATTTTCTTCTTGTAGTCGAACTCTTACGATTAATGAAAAGTCGAAGTGAGATGCGCATGACTACTGGCTTATAGAAACAAAGTCTGTGATTGTTCATTTACATAAATAAAAAATTTAGAAAATAAAAATATTAATTTCTTTTCTCATGATGTTGAATATCGATCGTATAAATATGAAATTAAACCAAACCGTGCCCATTTGATTGCAATCGTTTTTACAGTTTGTAATGTTGGATTAGTAAGAGATAACGTTGATTGGAGTATCTGTTGTTGAGGATCGCCTTTAATTAATGTTAACATGCTATTATCTCGTTCATGATTGATATGAACCATGATGTCATCAATCAATTTTGGAAAGTCATATTTAGTTTTATCTTTTGTATTAATAAGATACAGTGATAGATTTGTTTCGAGATTCGTTAAACAATTATGACGAATTGTACTGAGAACTTCAGTTGAATTGAAATTCGTCGGATAGTCACGACGATGATTACGTAATTCTTCATCGATACCAGTGCGAATAAAAAAAAGTGTCTTACTAAAGCGGTCGCGTACAATATCACTTAACCATAGATCTATTTCAGTGAAACGTCCACGGGATAATATAAGAAACATATCATAACGATTTATATCAATTAATTTACAATAATCATCTTTAGCTATGGACGGCGTTGCAACGCCAGGCACATCCCATATGAAGACATTTTCAAATAATTTATAGCATGTGGGTGCTTGTGTTGTTTCAATGACACCAACAGCAGATGAATCCTCATGATCAGGAGATAGATTACGAATCAAATTACATAGAGAACTCTTGCCAACGCCCGAACGACCAAGTATTGCAATGTGATAGGGTGAATTAGTAGCGCGATATTTTACAGCACACATAAAAAATCTAAAATTGAAAAATAGATTATTGAAAAAGATCAAAAAAACAGAAACGATTATCAAATGCAATCGTTAACGATAAAAATAAAATAAATTGAGTAGAAAAAAAATTAGATTAACTGTTGTCTTTGCTGTTCTTCTCGAATCATTCGATTCGAAGCATGAATAACAACATCGACAATCTTCAATGATGCTCTTTCCATTCGGAGTAAAATCTTATACAAAACTATGTAACAAACTCCGAAAGATAATGTAGATGCAATGGCCGTGCCAACATATGGTACAAATCGAGCAAATTCTTCAGTTGTTGTTCCAACTGCTTGTTTTTTTGCAAACTCTAAAACAAATGCTCTCAAAGCATTTAAATGTTGTAATGGAAATATTTCATTTAATTCTTTTTCGATTTTGTCCATCGGTATTTGATAGACATTTGATAGTTTCTGTAAATTAGATTGATCTAATCCAAGTTGTTTTCTATAAAATTCAGCTTCACTCATGACTAATGTTGCATCAAAACCAAGTGAAAGAAACGGCACTGGTATGGCAGCAACAGCTGCTGATGCTCCTGCAACAAACCATATGCGACGATGAAGCGCAGCAACTTTCGATACTAGAACTTCTTTACACATAACTGACATTGACAATATCATGGATTCACGTTTCAATGATGGATAATCGCGTAGTAATGTTTCATTTAATTTTCCAAAATCAAAACGCACACGATATTTTAAATGGCCAGATATAAGAAATACTTCAGCATCGGAATCAACAGTACGAATATATTCAAGGCAATTATTTCGTATACGTTCTAGAACTTCGTCTTCATTAAATGTACTTGGATGATCTTCGTATTCATTGTATAAATCAGTATCAACATTGGTGCGAATAAATAAAAATCTTTTATTATTCTTTTTAACTTCTGATGCAAGCCATAGATCATTTTCTAAAGAATAGTGCACGTTCTAGATTTTAATCTCACTGTTTTGAAAACTAATCATTACCAGTAAAACGCGTTCGACAAAGTATCAGAAAAAAGTCATAACGTTGGAACTGAACTTTTTCTAAATATGATGCATGAAGATAATTTGGTGTTCCAACACCTATAATTATTTTTCTATTTTAGTGAAAAAATCAGAGTGAAAGATGAATTTAAAAAAAAAACCTGGTAAATCCCATATTTTCAAATTTGAAAAATCTGGATGTTCATATGGAGTTGGTTCATTGGTTGTTTCTACAACACCTACATCTGCAGCACCTTCAGCTTCAGCTTCAACGCCACGAAGACAATTAATAAACGTCGATTTACCAACACCACTAAACAGCAGATAAAATAGAAACTATACAAATTAATATATCATTATTATCTGACCTTGAACCAACAACTGCAATATCTAATGGATGTTGTTTCCATGCATTCAATCGCTGAGAAAGATAATTATCTAAGCCATTAACACCATTTTTCTAAATAGATTATCACAATACTACAGAAAGCAAGAGCACTACGCCAAATCAAATTAAACGAACATGAATAAATTCTTCTGTTTGTTTTTTCTCGTCATCGGTTATATCAAGTAATTGAAAATTTCCACCTGTTGTAATCGATTCAACTATTGGATCACGATAAAAATATTGTTCAAAATCAGTAAAATTCATTTTTTTTTATCTTAAAAAAGGAACTAGCAAGAAAGAAAGAAAGAAAATATTATATAGTGTCAAAAGAAATAACATTTTCTGTTAAATGTTATCATATTTGTACTGTGCGGTATCTACTAAACGAATAGTGACAATGAGAGTAGAAAAATACAATTTTCATTGAAAAAATTTTCGTTAAGTTTCATCTTCATCATCACTAACGCTTCTCTCGGCAACAATATCAATTAATGTAAGTGCTGCTGTTTCCATAACATTCAATAAATTTGTTAATACAGATAAGATTATTGTAAATGAAACCGTCGCACAGATAGCAGAACCAACATAGGGTACATATCGAAGAACTTCTTCAGTTGCAGTGCCAACCGCTTGTCTTTTAACCAGCGATACAACAAACTCGGGTACAGCCGTAAAAAAATGTGCTGGTAAAATCTTTTGTAATTCATCTTTCAGAACATATAATGGTATATGATGAATTTCAGCAATACGTGCTAAAGATTCATCATCTAAACCTAGTTGTTTCTTATAAAATATAACAAAGCCAACAGTTAAAGAAAAATCAAACATTACGCTTAGACCAGGTATTGGCGGAGTTGCAACAGCAGCACTAACAGCTGCTGCTACCCATGCTTGACTACGAAGAATATTGACTTTAGCTGTAATAACTTCTTTACAATTAGTTGACATTGCTAAAATCATTGCGTGACGTTTCAAACCTGGATAATCTCGTAGAAGTGCTGCACACATATTAGGAAAATCAAATCTATAGAAATATTCAATTACTTTTGATTCTATACTGATAAAACAATATTCCTACTGTGATGTACAATGAATTCGACCACTAATTAAAAAAATACTAGCAGTATCATCAACTGTTCGAATATGTGTAAGACAATTTTCTCGAATTCTATTCAGTATTAATGTTTCATTATAAGTTTTTGGATGATCAATTTTTTCATTGTATAAATCTTGATCAATATTAGTTCGTATGAAGAAAAAACGTTTACCAATTTTTTTAACTTCACTCGCAAGCCATAAATCATTTTCAGTGAAACGTGTACGTGAAATGATTAAAACTAAACAAGATAGTCAATTTCAATCAGTATACTAATAAAACTAAAACGAACAGAAATCATATCGATCCAAGTTTACTTGAGATAAATATGTTGATTGTTTAAATTCCAATGTACCAACACCTTACAATAATAATGACAAAGTAGAATGGAAATAGAAAGATTCGAAAAGAAAACCTGGTAAATCATAAAATACGAGATTTGGATAACTCGGATGAGAATAGGATAGAATAATTCGCGTCGTTTCAACTACACCAACTTTAGCCGCGCCTTCATCCTCTAAAATATTTTTTAATTAAAGTTAATCGCATCGAGAGATATAATTATTCTATGCAACAAATATTCCTCATAAGATGAAATAATAACTAGTTAGATCTGTGACAGTTTACAATTCTTGTTTTTCTTTTTGGAAAGGTAGAATCTCCGATATCTCTTGTTTGTTAAGACTTCGACTCGATGCTCATATTCAAACTTTTGTCTATATCATAATATTTATCATAGATCTATCAATTAAAACTCTCTGGCAGATTTTAATTCATTTATTTTCTTCAAACCACGCAGTATAATTATATCACTCATCGTCTAGACAGTAACACCATCTATCTCACTGAATTTATATAGAACAGTATATTTATTCGATCCTCATATCGACTTTTCAAATGCAACAGGAAGCACAAAAACCATTCTTAAGTAAAACAAAATATTCGGCGTAAACTCATCTTTGGTAGAAGGCAAAATAGGATACCTGCTCTAAGATTTCGTAATGTATTGATCAGAGTTGATTTTCCCTAGTGAATAGAAGAAAAAACGCTCGTTCATATGGCAAAATGTCAAGCAAATACTTGCTGATCCTGATTCACCAGTAATTGCGATGCTCAACGGACTAAAACAATTGAAATCTATCGATGAATAATAAAAATTCATCAGCAACAAAGACAAACCATTTTCGCCATGCATCTAATCGTTCAGCAAGAAAGCCTTCAATGCCGCGTATTCCATTTTCGCTAAGATATTTCTGTGCTGCAATTTTATCCTCCTCCGATACGTCAACCAAATCATTATCAACTGATTGTTGTGAGCTATTACTTGCCGTCATGCTTTTAATCATTCACTGATTCATCTAGAATAACAATGACTCATTGATCATACGCTTGTACTTTTTTCTCTTTCGACATAAATGAAATGAAAGACAAAAAATAGAACACATTATATACAATAAACATATGAAAAATATATGTGTATATATATATTTATTTATTTAGTGCTTAGAATCCATTATCTGACATGGTAGTTTGATTTTGATGAATACTTGTACTATGAGTATCATGATTGTTTGCTAGATCGCTTTGTTCAGTCATTGTAATATCTTGTTCATTTTGACTGTGACTAGGATTAGTTTGTTCTTGTGAACATCTAAAATTTAAAAATTACTGTAATATTTTCAATGAATCGTTTTAACAATTTACATGAGATGAGATTTCTTTCGTTCTTCTAATTTCTTAGCAAAAAGTGCTGGACGAAGTGATGCCGTTTGAGAACAATTATTGACTTTATAAATACCAATAAGATAATCAGCAAGTGTAAACATATTTTCACGTAGCGAAATAACAATAAATTGTGCCTAAAATTAAAGTAAGTTTATTAATGAAAAATCTCTATAGTGCGACTTACATTTTTTGTACGTTCTTTAATAAATCGACCAACAATTGAAACATTTTTAAAATCAAGTGCAGCATCGATTTCATCCATAACATAAATAGGTGTTGGACGAAATGTATGTAAAGCAAAGACAAATGCTAATGAACTTAATGTTTTTTCACCACCGGATAAATTACAAATACGTTTCCAAGATTTCTTTGGTGGTCGAATACTATCGTTATAGGATAAATTTATAATAAAATGTGGACTTTAATTTTTCAAAAATTGAAAGTTTACCTTAATTCTACACCATCAACAAAAGGATCGTTACTCGAACAAAATTCTAATTCAGCATCACCACCATCAGTGATAGTACGATAAATATGTTTAAGCGTACGTGATATTTGATCGAAACCAGCTCGAAATTCTGTTTGTCGTTGTTCATTAAAGCTATCACGTTTTGCTCGAATATGATCACGGCGTGTTTCAAGTTCAACGAGATCTTTTTGTCTAACATTTAAATTACGAACCTAATGAAATTTTCATAAAGATAATTTTAAATAAAATCATATAAGATCTTACAGCACGACGATGTTCACCGATAGCAGTTAAATTACAATGTGTTTGTTTCAATTCATTTTCACGTTCTAATGTTGCTGAAACTAAATCTTTCATTGTGTAAACATCCAGATCGGGTCGATCATATTTTTGTATCGGAACTTCTTTAAGAAAATTTGTTGATGCACTATCATCAGATATATCTTCATCATCTTCAGTAACATGACATAATCGTAATCCATTAATCTAATTAAATAACATTAGTTAAAAAGTTTCAGAATATTTTGATGAAATGAATTTATTAGTGAAAGGTTTTTGTCAGATCAAAGTTCTGGTAACTAGCGGTGACTCAAAAGCGTATGTTCTTTCGCTCCTAATAATCCTACTGGTCTAAATGTACGACCACTAGTAGCGAAAACGCTACAGATTTTAGAAACAACTAGATTTCAATGGCAAACATTCGATAACTCATAGTGATATACCTCGACATCGATGACACTAATTTCATGACGACATTGAACCAATTCTTTTTGTGCTGCTTCATAGTCATGTTTTAAATGAACAATTTCTTTGTCAATATCAGCTAATTCAGCTTCTGTAACTCGTATTGTTTCTTTTAATTCAGCTATATTGATTTTGTTTGTATCTAACTCGTTCTAAAAAGAAAATAAATCTTATTCCGATCCATTTCCTTATTAGCATTTCAATTTACCTCGATTTGTGTTTTCTTTTCATCAGCATTTTTAGCTAATTCTTCAAGTTTTTCTAATCGTGCATTGAGATCAGCGCGTTTCTTTTGTATTTGATCGAGAGCTGCTTGATTGGCCTTGATTTTATCTTGACTTTTTTTAAGATTACTAAAACCAAGAAGATTATAACAAGACATGAAGAGAAAGCGTCATGTTCAGCTTACCGACGAGCATTGGTTATTTCAACATTAGCTGTATCAATTATATTTTGTAACTTTTTTACTTCGCTGACTGCAGCATCAAGATTAGCTTGTGGTTGTGCAAGAGCAAGTTTATTATGATCATTGATACGTTTAGTTACGCTAAGCACAAAATGCCGAAGACAATCATGAATTTATTATAAAACAAGAAACTTACACATCAATTGCAGCTCTTAATTCTTCGAGTTCATCATTAGCCGTATCATATTCTAAATTGATAGTTTTTTTTTTATAGAATGAAAATTCATAAAATTCAAATACCTTGTTTAGTTTCTTGTAATTCTTCATCATATTTTTCTCGATCTTTTGGTGAAACAGTTTTCGATTCAACAAGTTTTTGTTGTTTTTCAACGGATGCTTTTAATGTTTCGACATGATTTGGTAAATTCTATAAATAAGATTCATTTCGTAAGTCGTATAAAATTTAAAAAAAAACCAAATCGTTACTTTAAGATCATTTTTAATCTGTGTATAAACTCGTTTTTCATCGGCTAATTTTTGTCTCAACTGTTTTTCTTCTGTTGTTAATTGAAAACGTTGTTGTTCAAGTTCAGTTAATTTTTCACCATCCTAAACATAAGATTCCATAAGAAATATATTTCAAACAGCGAATAATCGAACCTCTTTCACAATTTTTTCCAATTGATTTTTTCTTGCTGGATCAATATTAATACTTTGTCTGGATGCACGATTTCCAGCTGTTTTTAAAGTCATTTTTCCATGAGCTTGAAATGAGCCACCACCAGACATAGTGCCCGATTGTTCAATTATTTCACCTTTAAGAGTCACAACACGATAACGTGTCTGACTACCAAATGCAACTTTCTGTGCATCGTCAATGTTATCAACAACAAGTGTATCACGTAGAACATAATAGAATGTATTTTTATAGGCAGGATCATTTATATCAATTAAATCAAATAGACGATAGGTATTCGGTGCTAATTGTGGTACATCGAAATGCCGATTGGCTTGATGAGCATGCCGAAGCATTTTGTCCATACAGATAAAACTACCTGTACCTTGTTTATGATCTTTAAGAAGATTTTTTGCACATTCACCACTTTTAACATCATCGACAACGTAATAATCAAGATAGCCACCAGCTGCTGTTGATATAGCAACATCAAATTTACTGTCGATATTAGCTAAAATAAAAAAAATTATTCGATGCTTTTTTCTCAATTTCCAAAAAAAAAGAAGCGCAAATCATAGAATTTCGAGACAATCGATTTCTTACCAAGAGCGCCTAATCTTTGATGAAATCCTTGTAAATTTCCTTGCTGTTTTTGCCCCAAAAGAAAATTCAAAGTTCTATCACGACTTTGAGTTGTTTGCATTTGTGAATTCATATTATTAAGTTCGAGTTGATTCTGTCGAAAACGTTTATCAACAATGGTATATTCATCTTCAATATCTTTTAGGGATCGTTCTTTTTCTTGATGTAACTTTTCCGTATGTACAAATTGTTGATCGATTTCTTGAAATTTTTCTTGTTTACTATGAAGTTCTTTTTGTTTATTTTCATAATCATTTTTCATATCATTCAATGTATTCTTATGTCGGTCTTCTTCACTTAATAATAATTGTAAACGATTTTGTGCAAGTTCATAATCTTTTTTTATATTCGCATATTTATCTTGTTTAAATCGATTGCAATTATTTGTTTTTTCAGTTAGTTCTTTTCTCCATTGTTCTGTTTGTGGTAGTAAATCTTGTTTTAATTTATTTAATTCAACTTCAAATTTGTCTCGTTCTTGTTCAGCACCTTCTAATTCTTCTTCTGCTTGTGTTATTTCTTTTGTTTTTTCTTCAGGAATATTTTCCCACGTTTCAACTTTCGATGATTCTTGTTCATTTTGTTTTTCAAATTTTTTTTCTTGTTCAAAACTTGTTTTAATTTCATGACGTATGGTACCATCTTCAGTTTCATAATCAACTAACGATTTTTTAAGTTTCGTTAATTCATTATTATTCTTATCGAAACCTTTTTGTAAACGATTTAATTCATCTTGACTTTGTTTGCATAATTGTTTTTTGGTTATTGATTGTTCATTGGATTCTTTCATTTTCTCTTCACGATCAGTATATTTAACTGTTAATGCAACTTCTTGATCGCCTAGTTCAAATCTTTTTAATTGTAACATTTTCGATTTTGCTAATTTATAATCATTATCACATTTAATAAAATCTAACGCCTGTTGAAATGGACCATCTAATTGTTGAACTTCATTTTGAGCAGCTTTCACACGATTTTTCTTTAGAATAAAACCATGTAGAAAATATAGAAGAATATTAAATTTTAAGATTTTACTTTTTCTGCCCACATTGCGCTTAATTCTTCAACTTTAAGATTAAGTAATTCTAATGGCTTTTTAAAACGTTCGGTTCCAATGATATCTTCAAGATATTCAAGAAAACCTTGTTCGTGTTCATTAGCTGCAATTGGTTTCATCATAGCTATTGTTTCAACATCACCCTTGAAGAGAAAAAAAGGAGAGCTTAGTAAATAATTTTCCAATTATTCTTCGTAATCTACTTGAAGAATTAAATAACGACTATGATCAAGATCAACACCGTATTCACGTAATAATTTTGTGACATCTTTTAATGAAACTTGTCTCTCATTGATTTTATAATGACTTGAATTGTCCGGAAATGCAACACGTGTTATTGAAAAACGTATTTTTTCCTTCTCTCCTTCAATAGCGATAGCTTCGAAATGTACAGTTACTGAACAACTTTTTACATTTGGACATTCGGCACTATTATGTAGTAGTGTGCTCAATTTTGCACCACGCATTTTTGATGCTCGATGTCCAATGACAAATAGAAGTGAATCGATAACATTACTTTTACCTATTAGAGATAAATTAGGTTACATATAATAGATTGTAGAAATACTTACCACTACCATTCGGTCCAATAATGCATGTAAAATGCTAGAATGTATGTAATAGAGAATAGGTATGATATGAGATAAGATTTTCATACTTCATCGAATTGATCAAGTGTAACATGACCAGCAAATGATTTGAAATTATTGATTTCTACTTTATTGATTACAAGACGATATTTTGGTGTTAAAAGAGCTTGAATATGTTCAGGTAATGGTGGTAATTCTAATGTTTCAACGTCAATTTCTGAAATAAATACATTCATTTTTCACAAAACTCTAACAATCTCCTTAGCTCTTGTACGGTACCTGCTTCACCAGCTTCATCTTCGGCTCCTTGATGAGTCATCAGAGCGTATAATTTATAAAAATCAGTAAGATCACGCTCAAATAAAAAGTCGATGAATAACAAGCGATCAGCGATGATGAGAACCAAAAACGAACAAAAACGGAACGAACGTTATTCGATAACCAATAATGCGAGAATTCTCTGTGTTCAACAACCAATCAATGTAATGCCTTATATGATACTGGCGACATAGATGACACTTAGAAGGTGAGTGTTTTTCTAGGTGAATGCACTTCATTCATTTCGATCAAAAAAAAATTCACATATATATCTATCAATTGATGGTTACCTTTTTAAGTTCTATTTGCAAAAATGTTCGTCTCTATGAAAAAAAAACCATTTCATTAGCTATCGTATCGATCCAAACGATCCTTATGATTTGTAATTTGTAGTTGAAACTTTAGACTCTAAAGCTTAGAGTATGTAATTCTGTGTAAGAACAGTTGTCATTCATTATACCTTCACGAGGAATTTTATTTAAAAAAATGAATGATCAATTATTGCAGTTCAATTAAAGAATCACTGTTTATCTCTCTCTGTTGCTCAAATTCTACTCTATTAAAACTTCTATATAACAACTGAACAAAATATACTCGATGTTTCTGGATTCAATCGATTGTTGTCTTTGTGTATTTGGATGAGTTCATCATTTTTTTAGGCAAACCTAGATGATGAAGTGAAGTTTGAAAAACATTCTGTGATTTCAAAAATAATGCCAAGAAAAGCGTGTTACAAAAGTGTCTCATTCTTATGATGTTATCCATCAGATAAGTTATTTTATTCATAGACAAGATATAGCAATAGCGGTTTTTTATTAAAGGAATTTATTTAAAAAAAACATTTTTTTCTTAATTTGTCTTCGTATAGCTACCAATACCAAATCAGATAATTCTTTCGAAGAGAAATCCGAAATAAGTAAAGTCACATACAAAAGAAAAACATAAAGCTACAGATTAATCAAAAAAGTAATAGCAGTAATATCAAATCCACAATAAAAAAATATTATTCATAAAAAATAATCACATTTGACATAAATTTCGTTTCTGCTTTAAAATAAAGAAAAATGCGGAAACATCGGATTTGCATCCGATTATTATGTGTACTTCAAAAAGCGAAAATGTACATCCATTTTTTTCCTGTAAGGCATAGATCTCATCAAGATACATCCCTTCTCACTCAATTNAGACATATCTAGGTAATGTGGTTTCTAGATGCAGTTTTTGTGTATTTTGAGATCTTTCTCAGTCAATGTTTCGTTAGAAAGCTACGATTTAGTTCAAAACCAATATCAAATTAGGAATCAGCGTTAAAAACTGAGTCGATTTATATATGGTGCGAATAATTCCTAGAAAATGTTTTTTTGAAAAATCCCTGTACTCCCCCTCAGGGATGGTCTGATCAAAAATGACAATTTTTTCGATAACTCAACCATTTCTTGACGGATCCTTCTTATCTTCGAACTCGACTGAGACATTGATGAGGCTGAACTGTGTAGAAAATTTCATCTTGATCTAACTCTCCTTTCGAGAGTTATCGTGTAAACGGACGGCCGGACGGACACACTGACCGATTCTAGAGTGTACTCACTTTTTTGAGTACACAAAAAGCACTATTGCCCAAGCCCTGATATTTAGGTTGTCATTTTTGACACTTAACCATAAGTCGAAAAACACTCTTCAAAGATTCTTCAGATGGAATGCATTCAACTAGCAAGAACATGAGAATCAAGTTCTCACTTGATTTTACATATTGTATCTGTTTCTATGTGAATAAAACAAACTCTTTTGAATTATGGGCTCAAATCAATATATCCAAATTTGCAAGTCCAGTCTAATGTGACACGTCTGATAAAATGTTGATAGCAGCTGTGTTCACGCACTTTTTTTTCTAGAAATGAAGCGAAATTTTTATAATACTACGATGAACAAGTTTTCTTATTTCAACCAATTATAATGTACTTCATAGATGATCAATCTAGTTCACATGAAAATCTAGTCATGTTAAACATTTGCATTATCTTCGAAAACTTTTAAACCTAAATATCTAGGAAGAGATGACAATAAAACAAATTGGTATTCGATTGTTGTATGCTCAGTATTCAATGTTCACATACAGAAACCAGATATGTACTTATTTACTCTATTCTTTTTGCATTGTGATTAGGTTTTTTTCTTGGAGTTTTCAAAATCGATACCAAAAAAACTTGAATGATGTTGCTACTTATTTTGCATATCTATTGGCACTGATTACATATAAAATTTAGTTTTTTCGTTATCCTATAGATCTTGGAAGAAAATTAAAATTATTGCTATTATTTCACATTGTTTTTGACTTATTGTATGTATTTAACAAAACATACGAAATACAATTCATTTACAAACATGTTGCTATATAATTAAGTATGATATTTCTGTCAATAATACAAAAAATTTCGTATTTACTAATATTGACTGATTGAGATTACACGTCAAGACATATTTTTTCTGCTTCCGCTAAAATAAAATGCATCATCGTACTGATTCTACCTTTTTCTTAAGTTTTCACTATTAAACAATTCTGCAATAAAATTACTAAACGCCAGAATTACAGGGAATATTTACGAACTCATCAATGCTACTCACGGACAATAATTTGTCTTTATTCGAACTATTACTATTGTAATCTTCGTCAATAAAAACATATCTATCAAAAACTGATATTGATATTTCGTTAACATTATTACTTTGATCAAAATATCTTGTATAGACGTACATTCATCAATGGCATCCACCATCTCTGATGATTCATTTTAACCATAAAAGTATCAATGAAAATATGTCTAATGGATTATATCTTCATTATCATTGTTAAATGAAAGAACGGACGTTGTGCATTATCAGTTTTCTGTCAACATTCTTAAAAGCTTGAGATTAAACGGATCTTATGATTCATTCTCTTGATATTATTTTTAATCAATGTAGTATCAACTATCATGATAATCCAAAAAGAAAACAAAAACTTTAAAGCTAACATTAGTCCAATCAAAAATTATATAATAATCAACATCATGATTTCTAGCCTTGGCGTATTAGTTTATCAGTTCACATTTATTAACATGGGCGGAATCAATTGTACATTTCTATTTCTTCTTAGTTATATTTAACGACATCACCTATCGTATGCCCCGTATTTATTTGACCTTTTTAAAAATTTAACAAATCTACGCAAACAATTGGCTTAAGTTCTACTCGCGTTCGATAAAAAAATCTACAAAAATTCATCGTAAATTGCGATTAATATAAACGTACTCGATTTTTATTTTAATATTTAAAAGTACAATTCTGGCATGTTTACTTTTATCAGCACACAATAGGCGTCAACCATGCGAAAATAGCTCTCTTTTTGTTTTAATCTAGTTTCAACTATACCTATACTTCGCCAATTTTTTTTCTTTCTTCTCATACCGCATGCTTCTCACAATCGAAGTATGTCATCATCTTCTTTCTTAGTGTAGAAAAAAAAGATTTTACAGGGCACTTGAAATTCCATTAAAGGAGTGTTTTTGTGTTGCTTTGACAAACACTGTGCTGTTTGATAAGTGCATGCGCGCATGAACAGCATGGCAAGGCTCATTGAGAATTTTTCAATAGAGGCATAATCATCGAGCAGCGTAACGTAAGCATTTGGCAAGCATCCATTGCTTGGTTAGAGTATTTTACGTGATGAATTCATAACTGTTGTATGATAGTGATGAGCAAATTAAAAGGAACTCTTTAAATGCTATTTATCATGTATAACATTTTAAAAGTAGTAATCTTACATTTGAACAATCATACATTGTCAAATATAAACTCGGGCAAATCGTGTTGAACGAATATACATGGTTAAAATATATTATCTTGCTATTCTTTTTTGTTTTTGATTTAAAACAAGTGTCACACAACTTCTAACTGTGTATTCAATGATGGAAATTTATTTTCCTATGTTCATGTTGTAAGTATTATTTTTCTATTGTACATCTTACAGTTTCTTGTCTGTTGATTTTTATTTTAGTATATGTACACATATGAGTATGTTTTATTATAATAACAATTATATTTATAGTTGTAAGCTATTAAATGGCTTCGTTTCTTTTCTATTCTAGTAATCCTTGCATCAGATGAGAATGAAATTGTACCATATCAGAGTCTTTGTCATCCATCAACAAACAATGGCGAATGTTCGGATAATATTAATTGTAGATGTTCTACAATAGTACCAACAGGAGAACGAATTTGTACACTTTCAGTAGAATGCACATCGGCGATACCTTGTGATTCGGATTATTCATGCAGTGCAACAGATTCAATATGTGTTAAAGATAATCGATGCAATGGCGCATTCCTATGCTATCCAATTGAACTAAGCAGCCCAGAAACATGTCAACCACTAGCAACCAATGATAACATAAATAATGTATGATGTATTTTAGCTGTTATCTAATTGCATACACTGTATCTAAAACTAGTAGTATTATGTTTACTTTTAATTAATGCCGATAAATATAATTTTTGCACGTAAACTGATATGTTTTATTTCAATTCGTACTTTCATCGTCGAGGTCAAAGTAATCAAATATGTATATCAGAAAATATACGAAAAAACAAATCCTTGATTCGAACTGCTCGAGAAATGATGAGTAACTTCGTTCCTAGAAAGATTTATTTCTCAAGAGTGCTTTTTTTCACTCGTACTTGAAATCTTTTTCAGATTTGCTTCGAAACTTATGATCGAAAGAAATTTTAAAATTTCTCAATCCACTTGAACGACTCGTCAAATAGCAAAGATTGCAGGTTTTGTTTTATTTGAATTTTTTTTATCGCTCTTTAGTGACCTTCATCACTGAACAAACATTTTCATTCAAGTTTGACCAAATGATGACGACAGGCAACTGATGCATACAAATATGCCAATGGTCGGATTTCCCGTCAACAAAAATTGTTTGTTTTGCATCATAAAAATTTCGTACGATGCAACTAACTGAAAAATTCAACTTTTTCTATATCCATCATCAAAATATCTCTTGCTGAAATTTGCCGTGTTTGTCATTGAGTCTGAAGATTTGTTTATTGATAGAAAAGATTTTATTCTTATCAAAATATGAGCGCCGTCGAATTTAAATCACTCATAGTTCATGACCCTGATGCTTAACTCAATATTGCTTTCAAACGATTTCGCTTAATTGACGTCATACAATATTTTGATTTATTGTGTACTCAAAAAAAAAAGAGTACACTATAGAATCGGTCAGTGTGTCCGTCCGTCCGTTTATTCGATAACTCTTCACAATTAC